GCCCTTCCCCAATGCAGGCCAGCTGTGGGGCAGGCCGCACAGCTGGAGCACAGCTGCTCTGGACCCCCTCCCCTGGTGCCTGCTGGGATCCTCTTTTCTGGGAGGGGTGCTGTGAGCTCCCCTGGGACTTCGCAGGCAGGGAACAGGCCTGGCAGCCCTGCCTGCCCAGCCACTGGGACTGAGGGTTAGGAGATGCTGGGGGCTGAGACTGGAGAAGGGCTGCTGGGATGAGACCTTACTTCCTCCAGGGTGGGCTGCTCCTTGTGCTGGGGCCTCTCAGGGTGGTGCCAGTTATGGGGCCCCGAGGGATCTGGGGAGTCCTTAAGGGAGGCACTTGAGGGGGGCCTTGAGGTGCATAAGGGGGCCTTGAAACCCTAATGGCATTTTCCTCCAAGGCAGGGAGACGACAGCAAATGCACAGCCTTCTTGCATCCTCCCTTGCAAAAAGATCTGTTGGAATAAAGCACAAAAAGTTTCCAATTCTTAAAAGTGAAAGTTTGCAAGAAGGGTTTGCCTTTGGCGCCAAGACCCCTGACACCCCAAACCCCAAAGCAGCCCCGTGACCCAGGGTGCCCCATCCTTCTGGGCGTGTCCATCAGGCTCCAGGTGGGAAGAGCAGGTCAAGCAAGGCCCAGCCCTAGGCCACCCTGTTCCTCACCCTCTGGGCGTGGAGCCTGGCCTCTCTCCCTCCCCAGCCTGTGGGGGCAGTGGCCTGTGGGTGCAGCGGCCTGTGGGTGCAGGGGCCTGCGGGCAGTGGGGACTGCGGGCAGTGGCTGGAGGTGTGTGGACTGTTATTCTTACTTTCCTACGACATCTTGCAGAGCCAGCTGGCCAACCCGCAGAGCCCAGCTCCTTGGTGACTTTCCACTTTGCCCTGGGAAACCCTCCCTTCTGCAGCCGGGCCCTCCGAGCCAGCACGCCCGCCCTGTGCTTCCTTCTGGGCCTTGCCCTTGGACATGGCCACTCCCCTAGGTCCCCATGGCAAATGACACTCTTGGGGCCAGTCTCAGGGACCCCCATGTCACAGGCTCAACAAGTAGAGGGTCCTGTGTGGTGCCCTGGGCTGCCCACTTGGAAGAGGTGGGCTCTCCGTCTCCCTCCTCCCTTGGCCTCAGGCCCACCTGACCTTTTGCATGGACATGTTTGAGGGGTGGACGCTGCCGTGTGCCTGCATCCTCTGGTGGCCCGGCGAGCCCTGCCCAGGTTCCCTCCCCTTGGAGTCAGATGGGTCCTCTGGTGCCATGGGCCTGCCCAGCTCCTGCCTGCCTTGGGGTGAAGCAGAGGTGTGGACCCCAGCTCTGCTGCAGCCCCTCAGGGCGCACCGTTGTCCTTCACCCCACTGCCCGACCCCAGGCCTCATCTCCAGTCCCACCCACCCTCTCAGCTCAGCCCTCATTCTGCCGTGGACTCTCCCCAGATCGCCCTGCTTCCCCGCTGGGTCTCTGCGTGCAGTGCCAGGTCTGTGGCTGCTGCCCCTGGCTTCCCTGGTTTGGGGTGACCATCCCATTGCCCCCTGCCCTGGCAGGCTGCACTTCTGGGTCCTGGCCCAGGCAGAGCTGTGACTTCCCAGGGTAGCCTCGGGGCACGGCAGCCCTACTCCCACCTACCCGGCGCAGACTCATTGCCTCCTGGGGCTGGGAAGGCATCCCCCTCTCTGCACTGCAGCGTGTTTTGGGTTTCGGAGGGGACTGGAACACATTCCCAGAACCGCATCTGTGGCCTTGCAGAAATGAGTTCTGCAGACTGGGTTCCACCTTTCTGCTGCCTGCGGCTTTGGAACCTGCCAGCTGCCAGCAGCCGCCTGGCTCCAGGCGTGGCCAGGCGGCCTCCCCAGGTTCCCCGCAGAGGAGCTGAGGCAGTGGCAGGCTGGGGGGCCCTGTGCAGCCCCACACCTGTAGCAGAGCCCCATGCCCCTGACCCAGCCCCCATGCCGTCTCTGGCTCTGGCACCTCCTCTGGTGGGCTTGAAGCCTGCTGTGGGGGTGGGCACCAGCCTCTGGCACACAGGTGAGGGCGGCTGCTTACACTGATGCAATGAATGGGCCCTCCGTGCAGAGGAGGCCCTACCCCGAGGGTGAGGTCGGGACAGGGTGCACAAGAGCAGTAGGAGGAGGCTCGTGAGCTGCCCAGGGGACAGGCGGGCAGAGCCCAGAGCCCAGGTGGGTTTTCTGACCTGGCCCAATCAGGTGAGCCAGCCTCTTTCAGTCCTGCCAGGCTGCCCCTGCCCCCAGCAGGCTTCCTACAAGGAAAGGCTGTGGTGACCTCTGACCACATCTAGAAACCAAGCCAGTCTGAGGGCCATAATCACCAAACCCCACCAAGTCAGCAGGAACCAGAGCCACCTGTGAGCCTGCCCCAAACCTCGGGCTGTGTTTGCAGGCCGGAGCAGAGCGGCTGGCAGGCTTGGCACACTGTGGACAGACTTGTCCTCTAGCTGCTGGCCTGCCGGCCACGGCACAGCCCCTAAGCTGACCAGCTTGGACTGGCCTGGGTGCTGGGCCTGGAGGGGCATCCATAGCCCCCACCTGCCACCTCCACGGCACTTGGTGCCCCTGACGCTGGGCTGCATCCCAGGTCTCAGGCCGGCCCGGGCAGAGCATAGCCTGCCCGCTTAGCACACTTGTCCCGAGGCCCAGGGCCCGCTCAGGTGAGTCCCAAGCCCTTTGGCATCTGCCGCGTACACCTGAGACTCCTGGCCAGTGGCGGCCCCTGCTGGCCGAGGGTGGAGTTGCAACCCCGCTCTGAGAACCCACCTGTGGTCCCAGCTTTGGAAACTGGCTGGTGAGGGTTCAGACGTCCGCTCAGGGGTGGATGCAGAGACAGCGGCTCCCACGGCGGGCTGGCTCCTCAGGGTTCTGGAGGCTACAGGTCTACATCGTGGTGCCCTCCAGTAGGCCGCTGGTGGCAGCTTTCCTCCTGCATGCCCTTCTCATACGGTGGGAACAGGGACAGACACAGAGGGAGACACAGAGAGGGCCAGACAGACAGACATAGAGACCGAAAGAGACAGAGACAGGCAGAGGGAGACCTTGTCTCTTACAAGGACGCAAATCATTGGATGAAACCCCACACTTACGACCTCATTTCACTTTAATTACCTCCATAAAAGCCCTTACCTCCAAATACAGTCGTTGGGGGTTGAATTAGGCATACACACCCAAATTTTAGGTGGACACAAACTTTAATAACCCCATGAGGGGCTATGGAGCCCCTAATCTCCCACGTTTTGATGGGCTCTCAGTTTTGCTTGGGGTCTGAGCAGGTCCTGACTTGTGGGACCACCTGGGCCAGCGTCCCTGGGACACAGGTTCCATGGGCTGGTCTTGTAGGGACCGAGGGCCCTGGAAACTTCACGTCTGCCTCTGGGCACTGGTCACACAGGGGCTGGCCCTCCCCGAGCTGCGTAGCCCAGCAACTGAAGAAATGGGCCCTGTTCAGCTTTCTGGGAATACATGGCGCAGGGTATGTGCGGTGAAACCGGACCAGCTCCCTAGCAACTTGGGAGCACGTGGAATGATAGGGCGTGCGCCACAGAGCGGGAGGGCAGACTCCCTGCCCCGGTGCCCACCTGCTGCCCATCTCCCCTCGTGGGATTGTCCTGGGCCCTCGCGGGGGCTCTGCCCATCTGGGAGCCTTTCCAGCCCTCCTGCAGCTCCCTGCAGCCTTGCGGCCATCGTGCCTGCCTGGCCGTCCCCAGTCCCGGGCTCCAGGCCCCCTGTCTGTGCCTGTTGGGTCCTGCCAGGAAGGGCTCTGGTTCTTATTATGCGTCATGGTGTGGGGGGGGTGCGGTGGTGTGAACCCTGAGCCCAAGGATGGGTCTGGCTCGGCCGTGCTCAGAGCCTCTGAGTGGTGGTGGTGGCTACGCAGGGCTGTGAGGCAGGCCCTTGGGGGTCAGTGTGCCAGGAGATGGGTAGGTAGGCCGGGAGGTGCTTAGACGTGGACAGGGACAAAGAGAGACAGAGAGAGGGAGACCTTGTCTCTTATAAGGACACAAATCATACTGGATCAGGCCCCACTCTTATGACCTGCCTGCCTCACTCGTGTCACAGCCGCGCCTCCCCACACATGCCAGGCACAGCCAGGACACAGAGCCGTCACTGCTACCCCAGGGTCCCCCTGCCCCCCAGGGCTGCCCCAACCATGTATGCTGTGTTTTAGCTTTTTTCAAACATACTCGCTTTGCAGGAAGGTTTACTTTTGGCAGGCGGCAGCTGGGGCCTCCTCAGAGCCCTGCGGCCACTCACACGCTCTGCATATGGACACCGGGCTGCTTGCAGTGGGTTTGCGTCGAGTCCAGGCCCGCTGGGCACAGACAACAGCATGTTCCTTTGGCTTCGCTCCAGAGCACCGGCTGACCCCCTCCCTAACCGCATGGGCCACTGTCAGAGGCTTGGTGGAGCTTCTGGAGGCCCAGCACCCACCCCGGGTGCCCAGCCTAGCCCAGTGCCCCCTCCTTGGGCACAGTTACAGCCCACCAACCCAGGACATGGGCCTCCATTCGGCCAGCCTGACGTGGCATAGCTCGCCGTGTGGAGGGCTGAGTGTCCAGGCCTGGACCCCTGGGTCCTGGGACTGCCTTATAGGTCCCGGCTCTGTGGCCTCACCAAGTGCTGTCCCTTGGCCCTGGGGAACGAGGCCTGGCCTGGGGCGGGCAGGAGCTGCACTGGCCCATCAGTGGCCCATGACACCACAACCCCACAGGCGGGACCCTCTGCCCTGGCCTGGTCACCAAGGTGTGTCTAAGCCCCCACCCGCACCCCCACTGGCTGCTGCCCCCTCTGGGACTCTTCCAGCCCATCCCACCCCTGAGCTCTCCACAGGGCCCTGGCGTTTCGCATCGAGTGCTGGGCTTCCATGAGGTGGGTGGTCTGCTCTTCAGTGTGTCCACGCCAGACCCCCTGGGGCTGGAGGGTCCAGAGATGGACCCAGTCCTGAGTACCCTGTGTGTGTGGAGGGGCAAAGCCAGGCCTACGGACCAGACAGAACAGTGCCATGCTCCCAAAGTCCCTGCTTCCGACAGAGATGGAAAGGAGGAGGGTCCTGCGGGAGGTGGCGGCTTGTCGCCCCCCTGTGCTGGGCGGGGTCCCTCCCTGCGGGCTGCCCTCCTGGGCTCACCTGGGCCCCTCCACGTGTCCCCAGCCATCAACTCCTGTGCGGTGGGCAACGGCGGCTGCCAGCACGACTGTGTGCAGCTCACAGTGACCCAGCACCGCTGCCAGTGCCGGCCTGAGTTCCGGCTTCAGGAGGATGGCAAGCACTGTGTCCGTGAGTGTGAGCCCTCGGGAGCCGGGGACCCTGTCCTGCATGCACCCACAGGCCTGCCCAGGGACCCTGCAGCCCGACCAGATGGGTGGGACATACCTCCCTGCATGGCGGGGTGGGAGGGTGCCCTTTGGGGGGTGGCCCCCTTCGCTGCTGAGAGGTGGTGGGCATGCTATCCCAGCGGGCATCTGGGAAAACCTGGTAGGCTGTGCTCCGGGGTTGCACATCTGTGGGGGGCAGGACGTGCAGGAGAGGGGCATGGGGGAGGATGAGGAAGGGGGTCCTGCATGTCCCTCAGTCCCAGGACCACCCTGAGCTTGGTGTGGGTACATGGGACCCAGACACGGGCTCTTCGGCAGAGGAGACAAGTGAGGCCCCATCTGTCACCTTGCCCTGGGATTTGGGACTGACCGTCATGGAAGGAGGGGGCTTTGCTGATGGGGAAGGTAGAGCAGGCTCAGAGGCCCCCGAGATAGAAAGGGGGGCTGGGATGGGGCAGGTGCCAAGAGAGAGCCCCCCTGGGCTCTTGGGCCCTGGGCCAGGAGTTGGCTTGAGGGGCTGAGGCCGGCAGTGGGGACGGAGGGCAGGTGACCCAGGGCTGGGGCTCTGCTAGGGGGCCAGCCGGCACCTCCAGGGTCTTCTCAGGGCCTCTCGGGCGCCCACATCTGGGAAAGGGAGACGACCGAGCCCAGCCCGTCAGACTTGAGCAGGGAGGGATGAGGACCTGAGGTGGGGGCACATGGGGGTCCTGGGCAGGCACCCCAAGTCCCTACGGCCCCCCATCCTGATCTCTCCCCTTTGCCTCCCTTCCTCTGGGCCCGTGACCACAGGGAGAAACCCATGTGCGGACCGGAACGGCGGCTGCGCGCACACATGCCGGGTACTCCAGGGCCTCGCCCACTGTGCGTGCCACGCGGGCCACCTGCTGGCCGCAGACCGCAAGGCCTGTGAAGGTGAGACTCCTCCCTGCACTCCAGCCCCACCCCAGACCAGCTGTGCAGTGACCGGTGTCCCTCTTGGGCCACTTCACCGGCCTCGGGGAGCAGGTCTGGCCCGGCACCACCCTGGGCTGACCTGGGAACCCCCTGCAGGGGGTGAGGGGGGTGCGGGAGTCACTCAGGGAGCTGCTTCTACCCTGAGCCGGAGCTTTGTTCAGGCAGGAGGCGTTTGTATTTGTAAATATTTCTCATGTCACCTATGCAGAACCCGCTGGGTAGGGAGGCAGAAAGGGGATGGGGAAGAGGATGGGGGACGCAGTGCCAGGAGCCAAGGGTGGCCCCTCTGTGTCAGCCCGGCCTCCAGGGCTTTCTGCCAGCCACAGTTGGCATGCACGTTGAGAGGCGGCCAGCTCAGCCAGGCACCCCTTTCTAGAAGGTGCTTCTAGGCCCTCAGCTGCTGGGGGGTCCCCTGGGCAGCCCACCCCTGCACTCACCGCTCTGGTGGTTGGCTATGGGGAGGGGTCCATGTGTGTCCCCTGCAAGCATCAACACGCCTCTAAAGTGATGTGGCTGTGCCCAGGGGAGGCAGCGGTCATGTCCCCGAGACTGCCTGCCAGAGCCCCGGGGTTCCACAGGGCACCCACAGGAGGGAGCATTTTCGGGACCATTGCCAACAGGAAAGGCAGCCCGCCCTCTGGATGCAGGCGGCCTCGGCGGGCTGAGGGCTGAGGGTCGGTGCCATCCCTGGGAATCTGGGTGTGTGTGACCAGAGCAGTGGTCATCCCTGGGATCCGGGGCCTGAACGTCAGCGCTAGGCAGCCGCGGGCAGGATGCCAGTGACCAGTCAGCGGCTCTGGGCTTCCTCCTGCTGGCCCCAGAGGCAGGGGGCGCAAAGGCCCCTCCTGCCCCAGGCACTGGCCAGGGGCTTGGTGAGAGTGGGGTGGTTGCAGCTGAGGGGCCTTGGGCTCAGAGGCGGAGCCCCGTGCCCGCCGCTGGTGGGGCTGCAGAGGGCAGACTGCTCGCGCTCTCCTCGCCCCGGGAGGCGCGGCTCCGCACCCAGAGCTAGGCCGACGAAGACTCACATGCCGAGGGGCCGGGTGGGGGGGCCACGGGGTGGGAAGGCCGGAGGTGACCCGGGGGCCTGAGCCCTCACCCCCGCAGGGACCCCTGCACACTAAGGCACTACCCCTGGGGGCCCCGTCTCAGGCCAGCGGCCCCGACCCTCCTCCTTAATCTCTCTCATCCAGACATGGATGAATGTGCCACGGGGCTGGCCCACTGTGCCCACGGCTGCCTCAACACTCGCGGGTCCTTTAAGTGTGTGTGCCATGCAGGCTACGAGCTGGGTGCCGATGGCCAGCAGTGCTACCGTGAGTGGACAGAGGGGAGGCATCAGCACCATGGGATGTGGAGGTGCCTGGGGTCATGCATGGCTCCCCAGTTCCCAGCGGGCTGCCAGCTTGTTTGGCCGAGGGCCAGAGCCTCTTGTCAGTCAAGGGCAGTGCTGGGCATTGGGGCTGCAAGTGGGGAGTGTGGGGACCCCAGGATGGCAGGGGGAGTGTGGGGATCCCAGGGGGGTGGGGGTTTCCAGAGCCCATCTGGCCCGGCCGTCTGTGCCCCGTTCCCTACAGGGGGTCCTGGGGTGGAGCTGAGGTGGGGGCCCCCAGGCCCTGTCCCATGGACCTGGCAGAGGGTCTGTCACAGGGATCGAGATGGAGATCGTGAACAGCTGCGAGGCCAGCAACGGCGGCTGCTCCCACGGCTGCAGTCACAGCAGTGCGGGACCCGTGTGCACCTGCCCCCGTGGCTTCGAGTTGGCCCAGGACCAGAAGACGTGCATCGGTGCGAGCTGGCCCCTCGTGGCCGCCCCGAGATGCCGAAGCTCCCCCTGGTGCCCCCAGTCCTGCTGTCTGCCCCAGGCCGGGGGTGGTCCGAGGGTGGGCCTGGTAAGGGGCAGGGCACCACCCAACCAAGTGCCCAGCACCCACACCCCATAGGTCGGCAGGGCCCCGCTGCCAGCTCTGCTCTCGGTTCTGCCCCTCAGGCAGGGAGAGGCGCCCAAAGCACTGAGGTGGGCGAGGGTCCTCCCTTCACAGGGAGACCCTGCCTGCAGCCCTGCGGCAGGTGGGACAGCCCTGGGGCGTGTGTCCTGTGTGTGTGTGTGCGTGTGTGTGTGTGTGCATGTGTCTGTGTCTCCGCAGGACCAGGGTGCAGGGGCTGTGGTGGTGGTTGGGTCCGTGTGCCCTGGTGGCCTGGGAGAGGCAGAGTGCTGGCGGTGGGTGCCTGGTGCCATTTGGCCTGCTGTGCCCCTACAGACTTGGACGACTGTGCGGATGCGCCGTGCTGCTGGCAGGTCTGCACCAACACCCCGGGCGGGTACGAGTGTAGTTGCTACGCCGGCTACCGGCTCAGCACGGACGGCTGTGGGTGTGAGGGTGAGTGGCGCCAGGAAGGCCCTCAGGGGACGCTCTGCCTCGGGGTGCGGGCTGCCTGCGGAGCTGTGCTGACCTGCCCCTCCCTCCCTGACCTGTGAATTCTCAGGGCTGGGCCCGCCCTGCTGTCCCAGTCCGGCCTCCTGCAGGCAGGGGTCCACTGTCGCTCTGACCCTGGGGATGGGAAGATGGCTGCAGTGAGGGCACCTGCAGGCATGGCTGGTGGCCTCAGTCCAGTGGGCAGAGCAGTGGGAGAGGACCCTGCCGAGCCCCCGACCCCAGAGGACAGGCCTCAGCAGCCCGGGTTTGCCCCCAGATGTGGACGAGTGTGCCTCCAGCCACGGTGGCTGTGAGCACCTCTGCACCAACCTGGCTGGCTCCTTCCGGTGCTCCTGCGAGGCTGGCTTCCGGTTGGACGAGGACCGCAGGGCCTGCACCCGTGAGTGCCCGCCTGCCGCCGCAGGAATCCCTGTCTTCCCAGAGCGCTGCGCCTCCTGTTCCTGGGGCCCCAACCCGCCTTCCTGGCTGGCTGGACGCCACGTCGGTCCTGCCTCCTACTATGGGACAGGCCGGGGGCAGTGCGGGGGAAGGGGCTGGTTGGACAGGTGCCCCAGGGCAGGGTGTTATCGGGGCTCCTGGATGGTCTGGCTTCTTCCCTGTCCAGGTAAGAGAAGGGACATCGTTCCCAGGACTGGGGTCAGGATCCGGAGAGCTGGCCCTGCTCCCCACTCCCCCCACCATGCTCAGGGTCCCTAGGGCCCCCTGGGGGCTGGGTGTGGCTGGGGTGGGATGCCCTCTGGGTCCAGAGCCTTCTCTGTCCAGGGAGGTAGGGTCAGGAGTACAGCTGGGCACCAGCCAGGGTGAGAGGCACACGGCAGGTGCTGCAGTGGGGCCTGGGGGTGGGGCTCAGGCCCTGGGCCCCGAGGAGCACCGAGGGGCGGTGGGATCCAGTCCCCACAGGACAAGGGGCGGCAGGGCCTCAGGGAGCCTTGTGCCCCCGCCCAGCCCTGGAGATGCCCGAGGTGGACCTGGGCGGCCAGCTGCCTTTCCTGCGGCCTCTCCCGCACATCGCCGTGCTCCGGGACGGGCTGCCCCCTCTCTTCCAAGATGACTATGGGGCTGAGGAGGAGTTGGCGGCGGAGGCCCGGGGTGAACACACGCTGGCGGAGAAGTTTGGTGAGAGGTGGGCCCAGCCTGGGGCGCTGTTCTCCGCGCCCACGTGGGCCAGGCCAACAGCCACACTGGGCCTTGGGTGTGTGGAGCAATCCTGGGTGCTTGGTTTGTCTGGGGCTCAGAGAGGTGGCCCGTGTACCCAGTTGGTACCGCACGTCCAGGCGGAGCTCCCCGCAGGGCCGGTCCAGGCCAGGCGTTTAGCTCCCACATCCCACCTTGCCCATGTGGGGCTTCCTGGGCTGTGGACATGCCCCACGCCCCGTCTCTGTCCTGAGGGCCCCTCTCCCGATCTGCCCCCAGTCTGCCTGGATGACACCTTCGGCCCTGACTGCAGCTTGACCTGTGACGACTGCAGGAATGGGGGCGCCTGTGTCCTGGGCCTGAATGGCTGTGACTGCCCCAAGGGCTGGACCGGTCTCGTCTGCAATGAAAGTGAGGCTGCGCGGTCTGGGGGCTGGCAGGAGTCCATGAGCCCAAGACTCCTGTTCACTCCTTCCTGCCTGTGGGCAGGGGGGCAGGGGCCCCTGGCCCATCATACGCTCATCCATTCAGCGTCTGTCAACTGCCCGCTCTGCCAGGTGCTCTACTGGGCACCACAAGTCCAGGCGGCCACCTCCGCAGATGTTACAGTCCACTCTGGGGGGTCCAGTGACAAGCAGACGGGAGAGTGTGTCTAGTGAGAGTAGCTGCTGGGTGGGCCATCCCCCCGGGCCCCACAGAGGGGCAGCTGGGGCCACTCCCAGCCTGTCCAGAGCCTGCTGCTCCCACCACCCGGTGGTCCCAGGCCAGGGGCACTGGCACTTTGGCCTCGGGCTGCAGTGCAGGTGGACGCCTCGGGGCTCAGGGGGAGAAGGTGTGGCCTTGGTGCGTGGTGTCCCCCACGCATGGCAGGTGGGCCACTGCTTCTGAACTGGGTGGCCCAAGCCCCGGGAGGGTGCCTCAGAGTCCCTGGAGGAGCTGCTTCTGCAGGCCAGTGATCCCCGTGCCTCACTGTCACCCCTGCAGCGTGTCCCCCAGACACCTTCGGGAAGAACTGCAGCCTCTCCTGCAGCTGTCAGAATGGCGGCACCTGTGACCCGGTGACGGGGGCCTGCCGCTGCCCTCCAGGCGTCAGCGGAGCCCGCTGCGAGGATGGTGGGTGCCGCCCTCCTGTGTCTCTGGGATGCCCGTGGAGCAGGGAAGATGGGAGGTGCCACCTCCCAGCTCCTCCCCTGGCGGCTCCTGCCCCCAGTCCCTGTGCAGGTGCTGAGGACTTGACAGAACAGTGCCCAGGAGGCCGCGAGCTCCCGATTCCTAGAAGCATTCACCTACCGCTGTAGAATGGCGGGTGGGGCTTCACAGGGGCGTGGGCCTGGGCCCGTGGCTGCGAGGGACACCCTCGTGTCCTTCCTAGTGCATTGCTGGAGGAATTACAGGGTCCACATCACATGGTTCCTAAAGTGTCATAAAGACAATGCTTCATTTTTAAGTCCTCAGATCTTTTAAATTCTGCCTGTTGCTGGAGGATGTAGCTAAGGTACGGTGAGCTTCCTGCCTTAGCCAGCGGAGCGGGCGGTGGCTGTCCATGGGGTCCACCCCAGCGCCCCGGGGCGGCCCTGGGGGCTCTGTGGGGCGGGCATCCGAGTCCTGGGCAACCTGAGGGGCTCGCCCCAACCCCCGGTCAGGTCCCTGCCTTCCTCCCTTCCAATCTGCTGCTCCTGCTCAGCTGGGAGCCCCCCTGCCTGTTGGGAGCCGTGTGTGTAAGCGGCCCTGAACCGACCCAAGGGCCCCCTTGGCAGATAAAGGGCCTGCACTGTAGTGCTTCTGTCTGTGGCGTGGTGTGGCTTCCGGAGACCCGGGTCTCCGGTGGGATTCTGGGGGGGACACGTACCTGTGCAGGTGAGCCCGAGAGGCCTGGTGGGCCCGTGTTCAGGAGGGAGAGCTCCTCAGGTGTCTTTGGGTTCGCGGCCGCACCTCCGTGGCCTCCGCCTCTGCTGTGGCCCCTGGCCTCCTCCTGTCTGTGGGTGGCTTCATCTTTCTCCTCTAAGGACACTTGCTGGATTTAGGCCAGTTTGGAGAGTCCAGAACGGTCTCACCTGTAGGTTCTGGGGAGAGGACGTGGACAGATCTGGGGCCACCGTCCAGCCCCCACGGCCCGTAGCCCTTCCATAGGCAGCATCGGGCAGGATGGATTCAGAGGGAAGCCAGGAGCCCTTCTGAGCCAGGGGCCCCCGAGCTGTTGGCCTTGAGTGCCCTGCTTGAGGTCAGGCTAGGGGACCATGGAAGCACAGACTCAGGATGCCACAGACGTGGGTCAGATGGGGGATATGCTGAGGAATGTGCTTGGCCTCCAGCCCTGTCCTGCCACTGTCCAGGCCGCAGGCCCTGTGGGGCACTGGCCCAGCCAGGGTAGTCAGCCATGTCTATGGGGTTCCTCTTGTGCCTGCCCTGCCCTCGTGGCACCTGTGCCTGCCCCTGGAGCCCCTCCCTGTCTGGGATGCAGGGTCCTCAGGCTGCTGGTGGCCCCAAAGTCCTGTGGCCATGCCCTGGTGACCCATCCGCTCCTGGCTCCTGTGCTGGGCACTGGGGCCCTTGGGAGCATCTCCTGGGGTGTGGGTGCTATGTCTGGGTGGGTTCTCAAGAGGCTCCATCTTCCCCCAGGCTGCCCCAAGGGCTTCTATGGCAAACACTGCCGCAAGAAGTGCCACTGTGCCAACCGGGGCCGGTGCCACCGCCTCTATGGGGCCTGCCTCTGTGACCCAGGGCTCTATGGCCGCTTCTGCCACCTGGGTGAGTCCCTCTGCCTGCTGGCTGCCCTGTCCTAGGGGCAGAGTGGGTGGTGCTGTGCTGCGGGCTGGGCGCTCATGCCGTGCCTCACTGCCCCAGTCCAGCTTGGGCTTGACTGATGGTCATTTGCAGATGAGGACATGGGGGCTCACAAGGTCCCCTGCTGGGATGTGGGGCCTGTCCCAGGTCTGTGGACTACATGCCACCTCCTTCAGACTGCACTGCCTTGAGGGCATCTGGGTGGTGTTCAGCCTCTTGCTATCTCCTGGCCCAGCTTGGCCAGCGGGTGGGCTGCAGCCACGGGCTGGGGCAGCCTTGCTCAGAAGCCTGCGGGGCACAGGGCTTATCTTGGCTTCTGGAGCTTCCTGGCAGCCGGGCAGGTGCACAGACCCTGGGTGGGGGGCAGCGGGCTGGTGGAGGAAAGGTGGATGGCGATGAATGACTTTGTCTTCATAGCTCTGGGTGGCACTCATGGGAGGGTGATTTGGGGCACTGGATTCTGTTTCCAAGCTGGAAGGTGGTGTGACTCAGGCAAATTCCCAAACTTCGCTGAGACCTTGGTTCTTGTCCACAAAATGGGCACAGTGGTCCCAGTCCCACGGGACACCGGTGGCTGGGGTGAACAGTGTGGCTCTGTGCCAGCCCCAGGGCCCCAGGGACACAGCTCAGTGAACGGGCTGGAGAGCTTGGGCCCGGGAGGGGCAGGCCCACAGAGGCGGGCAGGCCCCCTAACGGCCCTGTGGGTGCAGCCTGCCCGCCTTGGGCCTTCGGACCCGGCTGCTCAGAGGAGTGCCGCTGTGAACGGCGGAACACACGTGCATGCGACCGGAGAGACGGCAGCTGCTCCTGCAAGGCAGGCTTCAGGGGCCAGCTGTGCCAGGATGGTGAGTGTGGAGTGTGGGGTGCTGGGGGGGCCCGGGGCCGGCTGAACCCTGCAGGCCCACTTCCCACCCCTGCAGAGTGCCCTCCGGGCTTCTTCGGGCCTGGGTGCCAGCAGACGTGTTCCTGCGCTCCGGGTGCAGCCTGTGACCCTGTCAGCGGCGAATGTGGCAAACAGTGTCCTGCTGGCTACCAGGGGAGGGACTGCGACCAAGGTGGGTGGCTAGCCCCTGGGCGCCAGTCTGGGTGGGGTGCTGGTCGTCCAGTGCGTGCTCGGCATTGGGCGCCAGGAGTGTTGTGCTCTGGGGGCTGGGTCAGCCCTGGAGGCTGGCCTATGTGTCCCCTCCACCTGCGGCATCTCCACCCTGTTCACACAGTGATGGCATAGCCACTGGCCTGCCCATCTCTGTGCACCTGAGGAGGCCGCTTGGGCAGGGGTTGGTCTGTGTGCCCAGGGCCTGGCCCAGAGGAGGCCTCTCTCCACCGGAACAGACGGTGTGCTGCCTGCTGGGGGCCACGGCTCTGGAGCACCTCCCCGTGGGTCTGAGGCAGCCTGACAGAGGCAGGCGCCCCCGGGTGTGGGCTCAGAGCGGAGCCTGGGCCGGCTGGCGGGGTGATGGAAGGCTCTCTGCATGGCTGCCGAGGCCTGGGGGCAGTGTGGATGGGCACAGTGGTGGGCAGGCTGGAGGCCCGGGGGCCCCCCGTTTGCAGGTCAAGGGCAGATAAGGAAGTCGAGGAAGCCCTCCACACCAGCACCGGGGTTGCTGTGGCCACACTGACAGCAGGTCAGGATGGGCAGGTTGGACCTCTCGGCATGTGGAACACACATTATCCGCACCCATTGGCCAGGCTGGATGGGCCACAGGGCCTGCAGTGTGACCTGTGTAACCATGGCCAGGGGCCCGCCTGGCTCGGGCTGCCCCCAGCCAGGGCCATCCCCTCACAGCTGACGCAACGCTCTGAGAAACAGAGAGGGCCAGGGGCCTCTGCCCAGCCCAGCCGAGGGGTCAGGGTCTCCACGGAGGCCAGGCCCGTCCCATGGGGTGGTCCTGTCACGGGCTTGTGAGTCTACTGGCAGAGGACGGGGGTGTGCTCGGAGCCCGGCCTGAAGCCCCGAGCCCCATGCGCTCTGAGGGCCTCCGTGGTCTCAGCGGGTCCAAGCATCTGTGTTCTGGCTGTGAGAGCGCCAGGAGGGCTCTGACTCATGGGCACGGATGGGGCTTGCTGCCTTCCGGCTCTGACGCCCTCCTGGGCTGTGATGGGCTGCCTGGCACTGGGACAGGCAGGTGCCTTCTCTGCTATCCAGGGTCACGGCCCTGCCGGGGCAGGGGAGAGGGTGTGGAGGGGGCTCTCCCCAGGCCAGTCAGGGGCTTCCAGCGCCCAGGCTCTGCAGGCCCCAGGGTGGGGACAAGCCTACACCGCAGCCCACTGTCTCCAGAGCACCCTCAGCCACTCCTCAGGACCTCTCTCTCTTGGCCTCTGCCCTCCCCTGGGGCCCACGGCCCTTCCACAGGGCAGAGGAGGAGGGCCTCCTCCCAGAGGCTGGGGCCCCCCTTAGTGTGCAGGGGCAGGGCATTCTGGCTGCCAGTCCCCCTCCCCAGCCCCCACCCTGCCAGAAAGGGCTTCAGCTCTGGGGATGGGGCGGGGCAGTCCCACCCCACCCCCCGTGCTCTGTGGGGAGCCCAGATGGGGTAAGGGGGCCACACTTGCCCTGACGCTCCCAGTTGGGTGGGGAGGGGAGTTGGGTGGGACTGGACAGGGGCCCCTGGGTGGTGCTGGGGTTGGGGGGCGTGGAGAGGGCGCAGCAAGGAGGGCCAGCCAGCCCTGCCCCTAGCTCCAGCCAGCGTCCCGGGCCCTGGACACCCTCCCAGGCCTCGCCCTCTGGCTGCCCCCCTCCCACCCCCAGACCCTGCCTGGCCGTGCCCTCATCCCCCATGACGATGAGGTGCTTCCCTGCCTTTCCCCGTGTCCTCGTGCCCTGTCGGCTCCTGGTCCCACCACGCTCGCCCAGAGGCCCTGGCTAAGTCCAGCAGCGCCCTGGGGCAGGGAGCAGGTGCCAGGGCCCCGAAGGGGGAGGGTCACTCTGAATGGGGCCGGCTGAGGCCATTCCTGCTTTTTCCTGCAGAGTGCCCAGGGGGGACATTCGGCGGGAACTGCTCCGGCTCCTGCTCCTGCGGGGGGGCCCCCTGTGACCGGGTCACTGGGCAGTGCCTGTGCCCACCAGGGAGGACTGGGGACGACTGTGGGGCAGGTGAGTGGCATGGTGTGCTCAGGTCTCCCTCACTCCCTGGGCTGCACACTCCAAGTGGCCTCTAGCCCTGGGCCTGTTTGGGGACCCTGGGCCCAGCCCTGGACCACATCTGGGAACCGCGGTATTGGGGTTATCTGTGAGGAGCCAGCCCCTCGGGCCCTGGGGTCTGTGGTGCCCTGAGAGCTCTCCCCATGAGAGGTGGGTGACAGATGGGCCAGCAGAGCTGCCAGCCCTCCTGGGGCCTGCGGTCTGCCCTCTGGGCTGCCTGCTCGCTGTGTGGGGGTCTCCCAGATCTTCTGATGATCCTCTCATTTTGCTGTCCTGGGCAGGGGGTTCTCTTTCTGAGGTGTTGCCCTGTAGCTGAGGGGCCAGGGCTCCCCCTGACCTGTCCCTCTTCCTCCCCTGGGCTGGCTTAGATGGTAACAGTGGCTCCCATTCCTGGGCCGTGACACGGCGCTGGGTGCTGTGCCAGGCCGGCCCAACGAAGCTCTTGGGGAGACTGATGGGCTGTGGGGGGCTAGCTTGTCCCGAGGGCCGCTGGGGGCTTGGCTGCCAGGAGGTCTGCCCGGCGTGTGAGCACGGTGCCACCTGTGATCCTGAGGCTGGAATCTGCCTGTGCCGCCCTGGGTACACCGGCAGCCGCTGTCAGGATGGTGAGTGCCGCTCTGCCCTGCCTTGGCCACTGCCGGACCAAGGGCCTGCCCTCACCTGCCTTACCTGCACCCCTGCAGCATGCCCAGCAGGCTGGTTTGGGCCTGGCTGCCAGACAAGGTGTTCCTGTGCCAACGAGGGGTATTGCCACCCGGAGACTGGACACTGCAGCTGTGCCCCTGGGTGGACCGGCCTCAGCTGCCAGCGAGGTAGTGCCTAAAGGAGCCCGCCCAGGGCCCGGGGAGGGGCCGGGGAGGTCTGCGCAGGGTGACCCAGGCCCCCTTTCAGCCTGTGACAGTGGGCACTGGGGATACGGCTGCAGTCGCCCCTGCAACTGCAGCGCTGGCAATGGGAGCTGTGAGGCCACCAGCGGCCTGTGTGTGTGTGAGGCCGGCTACACGGGCACGTGGTGCGAGCAGCGTGAGTCGACCCGCCGTAGCCCTGCTGTGTGCGAGCTGTGTGCTCACCCACAAGCCTTCATGCACATGTGTGTTGGGGCCCTAGTCCTGCCCTCCGGCCCCCAGACAAGCAGGGGTCTCCTCACCTGAGGTCACCCAGCCCCCAGCCTGGGCCCAGGCCCCGCCCCCCCTCACCTCCCTGGGGCCCACATAAGGCTCACCTGGAGCAGCTGGCAGGGAGAGGTGGGGCCTGATGCACCCCACCTGGAGGAGGGGAGCAAGGTGGCTGCTTAGGACATAGGCCTGTGACCGTCAGCGTGTGGCTGCCCCACAGCTGGATTGGTGGGTCTGGTTCGGGGTGGGAAAGTGGGCCTAGTGGCAGCCCCACAGCTCCTGCCTCCCCTGGGGCTCAGTCCTAGCTGGCCAGGAGGAGGTGGAGGCACTGGGCGAGCCCAGATCCTTTGTGTAAGGAGGGCCTTGCCCGTGAGCCACCTGCTGCCCTGCAGTCCCAGGCACCAGCAGGGGTGGCAGAGGCCTGGGCAGCTGTGGTAGGCCCCCCGCCCCACCAAACTGATGGTGGGCTGGGCTGCGTGTCTCAGGGTGTCCCCAGGGCCGGTTTGGGCCACGCTGTGGGCAGCAGTGCCGGTGCGAGCATGGGGCAGCCTGTGACCATGTCAGCGGGGCCTGCACCTGCCCAGCCGGCTGGAGGGGAACCTTCTGTGAACGCGGTGAGCCGGGGTGTGGGCCGTGGCTGGGCTAGGCCGGCTGGCAGTGCAGGCAGACACCCCATCACTGCCTTGCCTGCAGCCTGTCCCACCGGCTTCTTCGGACCAAACTGCCACAGAGCCTGTGACTGCCCTGCCGGGGCCCCTTGCAACGCTGTGAGCAGCTCCTGCCTCAGCCCCGCCGGCCGCCTGGGGTCCCCTTGTGCCCAGAGTGCATGAGGCCCCTGCCAGCCCCAGGGGCTGCAGGAGGGGTTGGCACACCAAGCCAGATTCTCTCTGGGGTCCCGGCCTGGGTGTCTGGAGCTGCCAGGTGGCCACCCTGGGTTTGCTGCTTTGCCCACTGCAAGCATATTAGGCCCTGTGTGTCACCCCAAGTGGTACCCAGGCCAGAAGGAGGGGATGATTGACCACAGGCCTGAGGGTCTTGCAGACCTGCTGCAGCACCTCCCAGGGTCCGACCCCCTGACCCCTGGCCACCCCTCTCCCCTCAGCCTGCCCTGCCCACACCTATGGTCAAAACTGCAGCCAGACCTGCTCCTGTTTTAACGGGGCCTCTTGTGACCCTGTCCACGGGCAGTGCCGCTGTGAGCCTGGCTGGATGGGCCCCACCTGCCTGCAGGGTAAGCCACGCCCAGGAGGGGGTCTTTCACCAGGAAAGGGGCCCACTTTTGTGGGGAGTCAGGGGACCAGGGATTGCATTTGCCCCTCGTGGGGGCTGTGCAGGGTCACATGGGCATGGGACTCCGGGTGGACTTAACTCCCATGGGAAGCAATGGGCAGGGAGGGCTGGGGCCTGTCATGTCCCCATGGGGCACCTGGCATCTGGGGGAGGGAGGAAACTGGCTGCTTAGGAGCCAGGGCGACACCCTTAAGTGCTGAGTTCCCCAAGGCTGGGATGGTGGCCTGGGGCAGGCAGTCTTAGAAAGAGCCCTGGGAGGGGCCTGAGCCCCAGTCTGGTGTTGGGCGTGGTCTGGTCTGGGTATGGGCGTGGTCTGGTCTGGGCGTGGCCTGGGCATGGGCCGTGCTGCCTGCAGACCCCATGGGCCGGCCCTCCTGGGGACAGGCTGCAAGCTGCTGCCTTCCCCCACCCGAAGCCTGCCCGTCAGGCCTACATGGTGAGAACTGTCAGCATTCCTGCCTCTGCCAGAATGGGGGCACCTGTGACCCTGTCTCAGGCCACTGCACATGCCCAGAGGGCTGGGCTGGCCTGGCCTGTGAGAAAGGTGAGTACTGGTTGGGGGGGAGGAGGAGGATCTGTGGGGGTCTGCAGGAGCCAGGCTAGGGTGGGGGCAGCATCCTGGGGGTGCCGCACAGGCCTGCAGTGTGACCAGCCTGGCACCCCGCCTTCCCAAGGACATGGGATCAGGGTCTCTGGGTGCCCTGCTGGAAGCATGCGCTGGTGGGGTCTCCGCATAGTCCTGCCCAGGAGGTGGGTCCCTCACCCTGAACCTGCCCTGAAGTGTGCCCGGTGCGCTCCGGGCCTGGCTGCCAGCACCACTGTAGATGCCTCCACAGTGGCCTCTGTGGCCAGCACACGGCCACTGCCTCTGCCCTGCCGGCTGGTTCAGGGATGAGTGGGCAGGCCGGGGGCCGGGGGAGGCTGGGGTGGCCTCAGCCTCCAGCGTGTGTGGCCCCAGTGAGCTGGTCAGCTGGCAGGGGTGGGGGCTGCTGGCATGTGGGAGGAGTGGGCTGGGTGTGGCCTGGCCAGCCTTCCAGAGTACAACTCAGCTCTCCCCCTGTCTCACTGGCCACAGCCTGTGCTGAGGGCACATTTGGGGCACGCTGTGAGGAGCGCTGTGCCTGCCTGCGGGGAGCCACCTGCCACCATGTCACAGGGGCCTGCGTCTGTCCCCCGGGATGGAGGGGCCCTCGGTGTGAGAGTGGTGAGGCCCCAGCTCTGCCAGCACCTGGTGTGGGGTGGGCCCTCACACAGTGGCCCTCCAGGCCTGCACTGCCCAGGGCTGCCCACTAGCCCCTGTCTGTGGCTCTGCAGCCTGCCCCCAGGGCTGGTTTGGAGAGGCCTGTGCCCAGCGCTGCCAGTGCCCAGCCGGCGCTGCCTGCCACCACATCACCGGGGTGTGTCGCTGTCCACCAGGCTTCACTGGGCCCGGCTGTGAGCAGAGTAGGTGACCCCACCTAGGCGGGAAGGGTGGCCAGCGGCTCAGCCCCTCCCGATGGGGCATAAAGCTCAGGCTGCACGTACCCCTGAGCCATACCCCAAACCTATAACCCCACCTGGTATGGTTGGGCCAGGACTGACACCCTTCTCTGCACCCTAGCCTGCCTGCCTGGCACTTTTGGGGACGGCTGTAGGCAGAAGTGCCAGTGTCCCGGCAAGAACCAGGCCTGCCACCCTGCCTCAGGGGCCTGTGAGTGCACTGCTGGCTACCACGGCACCGACTGCCAGCAACGTGAGTGCCACCTATGCCCCGGCCTCAGGCCATCCTCTGCGGTGTTGGGGGAGTGGGTCCCTGGGCGCTCTGCATGTGGATGCAGGACCCAGTCCCCAACCCCTGGCAGCTGTCCACTCTGCCTGCAGGCTGCCCACCTGGACGATTCGGGCCTGGCTGTGAACAACTATGTGGGTGTCTCAATGGGGGCACCTGTGACGCAGCCACTGGGGCCTGCCACTGCCCAGCTGGGTTCCTCGGGGCCGACTGCAGCCACGGTGAGTGTCCAGGGGGAAGGGCAGGTGCGGCTCCTCCCTGTGACTCATGCTCAGGGCCCCAAGAGCCCGCCTTCAGGATGGACAGCCCCCCAGTGCCCCGCCTCCCTGAGCCTGCCTCTGGGCCTGGCCCCAGGCTGAGCTGAGCAGGGGGTGTTGGTTTGACCCCAGTGTCCCCCACCTGCCGGCCAGCTCTGCCCAGCTGTGTGCCATGCGCCCCAACCCAGGGTGCCCCAGCGGGACATGCGCACTGCTGTGCAGAGGCCAGCAGGGCATCCGGCCAAGCAGAGGGCCTTCCCAAGTCATGTGGGTCTTTGGACCCATCTGGGATCTTGGCTCAGGCGTGCAGGGCTGCGGTCACTGTCCTGCAGAGCAGGCCCCCAGCAGACCTGTCTGTGGTGGGGAGACTGAAACTGGGCAGGTACAGAGGGAGCCGGCACTCCCTGCCAGGCTCAGGGCTCTCTGCACCCCACCCGCCTTTGGGGCACGTGGCAGAGAGGGAATGGGGGCCAGCGGGGCAGCTACCCTCCCGTTTCCTCCTGGCAGCCTGTCCACAGGGCCGCTTCGGCGCTGGCTGTACCCACCTGTGCAGATGTGGACAGGGGGTGCCCTGTGACCCTGTGAGTGGCACCTGCATCTGCCCCCCAGGGAGGATCGGCGTCCACTGTGAACGTGGTGAGCACCTGTGCCCCCTGCCCTTGGCACTGCAGGCGTTGCTCACGAGCCATGGGGCCCCTGGGGGAGAACCAGCCCTGAGTGCCACATTCACACCTACGGCCTCCATGCTGGGGGGCAGGGTCACACCCACCCCGCAGGCAGGTTCCTGCTCGGAGCCTCCTTTCAGGCCCCTGGCTGTGCCCGCGGCTCCTTGGCCTGGCCCCACCCCTCGTGACTACTCATCCACCACCCAGTTCTCTGCCTAGGGCAGCAGAGGGCCAAAAACCTTGGGGTCTGGCTGCCGCCAGGCCACATCGTTGCCCCCAGGGGAGGGCAGCAGCCATTGGTCAACCCTAATATGGACAGGGGCCATATGGAGCGCATGGCAGCCTGGTCCCCAGTGTGGAGATGTGCCTGTGTAGGGTGCGCCACCTCCAGGAAAGCTTCTCTGACCCCTCCCGCCGGTGGGGCAGGGGGGGCTAGTGGCACCCACAGCCTCTGGGGGGCTGAGCGGCCCTGGCCCTGTGATCCTGAGTTGTCCTAAGCACCAGGTCTGGCCTGGTATTGGCTGGCTGAGTGGATGGGTGAACAGGCTGGTGTGTAGTTGGTATCAGTCTCTGGCATGCATGTTCCCTGGGGGGCAGAGACTGGCCCCCAGACACCCGGGAAGTGTTGCAGTGAACGTCAGACCTGGCGGGGACATGTCCCCAGAGCCAGGACAACTGGCCCTGGGCTGGAGCTCTTGAGCAGTGCCCACCGTCTGCCCCCAGGCTGTCCCCAGAACCGGTTTGGTGTGGGCTGTGAGCATGTGTGCTTCTGCAGAAACGGGGGTCTGTGCCACCCCACCAATGGCAGCTGCTCCTGTAGCCTCGGCTGGACGGGGCTGCACTGTGAGCTGGGTGAGTGTCTGGGCTGCCCAGGAGAGCCGTGTCCCCGTGTGAGCTGCAGGGAAAGAGGGCCATGCCCCCATGGTGGCAGTGAGGGCATGGCCTTGGGCTCCAAGGGGATGTGGGGCTCGGGGACCTTTGTGGGGGGGCCCTGGGCTGCTGTGGGGCCAGATGAGGCTCCTAGGTCAGGCTAGTGCTGGAGGGGCTGTCCGTTGGGCCCCTACTCTTCTGTGACAGGAGGCTGACCTCCGGGCTCCCCCCAGCCTGCCCCCTGGGGCACTACGGTGCCAGCTGCCGCCTGGAATGCTCCTGTCACAACAACTCCACCTGTGAGCCCACTACAGGGGCCTGTCACTGCCGCCCTGGCTTCTACGGCCCGGCATGCGAGCACCGTGAGTCGTGGGGGGGTCCCCTGTCCTTGTGTCCGCTCCTTCCGTGAGGGTGATCTGGCTGACCACAGCTTTACCAGAGTGACAGCCACCTTCCGTGTCACTTCCCACGGGGGCCCGTGAGCTACGGCCTGCCTCTAGCTCACTGTGGGGCTCCGAGGCTAGAGGTCCCTGGCTCAGGGTCCCAGGGAGCAGGTGGAGCCCAGCTGAGCCCCAGTGGTGGCAGGAGCCACACCGGGTGGGGGAAAGGGGCACATGAGCCCCAAGTCCGGTCCTTTGCTCACTCTGGGCAAACTGAGGCAGGACTCTGAACTGGGCCTCCCTCAGCCTGCCCGCCCGGCTTCCACGGGGCCGGCTGCCGGGGTGTGTGCGTGTGCCAGCACGGAGCCCCCTGCCACCCCGTCAGTGGCCAGTGTCTCTGCCCTGCCGGCTTCCAGGGCCAGTTCTGTGAGCAGGGTGAGTGCTCCCTGCCTCTCCATGCCCTCTGCCCTGTCCCCATGGGCTGTGGGACAGGAGGGGATGCAGAGCCCACTGTCCCCCCACCTAGGGTGCGAGCTGGGCTCATATGGAGAGGGCTGCGGCCAGCAGTGTGACTGCAAGGGAGCGGCACCCTGTGACCCTGTCACTGGCCTCTGCCTCTGCCCCCCGGGGCGCACAGGGGCCACCTGTGACCTTGGTGAGTCTGAGGTGCTGCCCGGGGTGGATGGGTGCGGGTCTCCACTGGTGACGTGTGTGCCCTGTCCTGGTTGAGCCCCACCTGGGCCTGTCGTGACCTGGGTGCAGGGCCCGTCCAGCCTTGGCAGGGGCCGCTGCTCCAGGGGTCAGCACAGAGCTCCCACGGGGATGTCAGGGTCCCGCCCTGATCTCCAGGTTTGATGGGGCCTGGGTCAGGAGAGGAGGCCCCAGTTAGGTGGGCACAAGACCTTGGCCTGGCGCTTTTCCATGTGAGAGCTCACACAGCGCAGGGAAACAGGCCCGAGGCCCTCTGTGCCCCCACGCAGAGGATGGCCCTAAGACCTGGGGTTTCCGGGCTGGACAGACAGGGTTGGCATTCAGGCCTGCCTCTCCCGCCCCCTCCTGTCCACAGACTGCAGCGGGAGCTCCTTCGGGCCGGGCTGTGCCCTGCGCTGTGACTGTGGGGGTGGGGTGGACTGTGACCCCATCAGTGGGCAGTGCCACTGTGTGGACGGCCACATGGGGCCCACATGCCGTCAAGGTGAGTTGGGCTTCCTGGGGAGAGAACGGGAGGGCACTGTGCTCTCTGACCCCCACGCATTGCTGGCTGGTGCAAACAACCATCCCAGCGCTGTACCCACAGTGTCTGCACGGCCTCTGATGGTTCCGGCGTGAACCTACAGCCGCCAGACTGAGGGACAGGGCTCAGCCATGCTGCCAGCCCGCGTGTCCCCATTACCCCAGGTAGGGTGAGGGCGGGCCCAAATTGCAGACGGCCTCGACCCTGTGGCAGGGCTGGGGGACCCCGTGTAGGTGGTACTGGCCTGGCCCACCCCTTGCCCCCTCCTGGCCCTGCACGTACTTGTATGTGTGTTTTAGTGTATGCATGCTAATGTGTACATGGCGCCTATGCACACACATGTGCCCTACCGGCAGAAGGGTGCAGTCATTGATGGCCCTGTGGTCTTAGCCCGCACAAGCTCTGGCAGAATGTGCTGGCCGCAGGCAGAATGCAGGGGTGCCCCATGTCCACTCCCCAGGCCCTGCCTTCCGTGTGGCCGAGAAGGTGGAGTCTGGGGAGGGAGGTGAGAGGCTGGCTTGGGACCTGCGTGGGGCGGCTGTGCAGCCAGCCATGCAGCTGCGTAGAAGCGGGCAACCAGGCTGCGAGTGCGATTCCAGACGGGTTCCTGGCTTGAGGGCTGAAGTTTGAGCCTCTCCAGGGCAGCCATGGCCCCACCCTGCTGGGGAACCCACCTCCTGCAGCCGGAGGGGTGGGAAGTCAGGCAGGTGGGGGCAGGACTTTGAGGATGTGTTGGGGGGATGACAGGACGCGGAGCTTCCACGGCGGCACCTGGTGGTCGTGTGTGGGACTGCACTGTGGGCAGTGGACACTCCGACACCAAGCAGCCTGGACATTTAGCGGGTTCTGGAGCCAGGGGTTTGCCTGCCTGAGGCCCAGTGGGAAGAAGGGGCAGGGCCTTTCTGCCTGGCAGCCTGGGCTCTGCTGATGTTCTGGAAGGGACCTAGCTGACCTCTAGAGAAGCCCCTTCCCATCCATCCCCGCACACCTCCTGTACAGAGAAGGCGGGGAGCCCATCTGGGGAGGGGGGAGGGCCTTCCATTTGCATAGAAGTGAGGAGGGGAGGCTCCAGTGGGTGGGAGTGGGAGTCCCTGCAGGCCTGGGTGCGGTTAAACCTCACTGCCTTGTTCTGGTTGCCCACCCAAGGCAGCCACTCGCATGAGCTGCTGTCTCTCTACCTTTAGGTGGGCCCCCCCTGCTCAAGAGCCTGTCTCCAGCCCAGGACCCAGGTAAGGAGGGTGGCACTTCGTGGTGTCACTAGCCTGTCACCCGCAGATGAAGAGGGGGGATGAGAATTGGACGTTCACATATGATGGGGGTGGCATGTTCCGGAACCTGGAGCTCCACTGGAGTGGAAGCTGGGGGCAGGTGGACTGTTCCGTATCTGCTGGCCTCAGGGAAGCGCGCCCCAGAGCACTGGCAGCTTGGAGAGTTTTCACTGCCCTGGGGCTGCCCTCCATTCTTCTGTCCCTGCAGCTGCCTCCGGACCAGCCTCTCGCAGACCAGCGCCCAGGCCCAGCAGCAGGGCAGACAGGCACTAGCTCAGAGGCGGCCCCCACCCGGACCCGCCCCCTGAGTGCCTCCACGGGGACCCAAGGGCTTTGGTGCTCACAAGGAGGGCAGCCTTGGGCCGGGACTCCAGACCTAGCCTTGTCTCTGAGGACCGTGGACAGCCTCACTCTGCAAGGGTTATGTGGCTGTGACAAGAGAAGCCCCTGGCCAAGCTCTGCAGAGCCCTGGCGAGTGGACTGGACCTCGTGCTGCATAGGCTGCCTGGGCTGAGGAAGCCCCGCCCCTTGCGGCCCTGCTGAGGGCAGGTGTGGGTCCCCTGCCTTGTGAGCAGGTGCTTTCGGTGCTAGGCCCTGGGATTGCTGCGCTCAGCCCGTGGACCTGGAAATGTGGCCTGGCCGTACTTAGGCAAGAGTATTTGTGGGCAGCTGACTCCTGCCAGCCCCAGGAAGCCCTGTGGGGCCTGTGGGCAGCGGTACCATGTGAAACCCAGTGAGTTAAGAGTTAAGAGAGGAGCAGCTACTTTCCTGTGGCCTCATTTGCTGGTTTCTGTGGGCTCTGCGGTGGTGGCCTCCTGGGCACCAGCACAAGTGTGCCTGGGCAGGGAGGCCTGATAGGTACCTGGACCGTTCAGCCCTGCTCCTCCCTGGGGGTGGGGGTGGGGGTGCCCCACACAAGGGCGGGGTTCATCCCGGTCCCTGGTGCTCTGGGGGACACCCAGAAGCTGACCCAGGCAGAGGCAGATGGACCTGCGAAACAAGCGCACAGCCCAGGCGCCCGACTGCACACCCGGGGTGTGGCAGGTCCTGAGCCTGCCCCCAGTGTGGGAACCGCGCCCCCAGGGGAGGAGGGCCGGCCCAAGGGCTGGGCCGTGTGGCAGGCAGCCCGGGCGTCCCCCAGCACCTCCACCTGCCCCTCCTGTCCTCAGGGAGGAAGCAGCAGTGAGGGTGGAGAACATCACAGGGCAGGTGGCCCATGGAGCGGGTTGGACCCAGACTGTCACTGGGCACTGAGCGTCTGGGCTGTAGCCCCTGTCCTGTGCCCTCCAGCACCAGCCCAGGTAGCTGACATGTACAAGGGCAAAGGATCTCAAGGGGCAAGATGAAGGCTCTGGAAAGAAACAACTAGTGACCAGCCGCAGCAGAGGAAGCCCCATTAATGGGCTGCTGTGTCCAGAACTTCAGGGTAAATATGATAAATACCCCAGAAGGGAGAACAGACGACAGAACAGAAATGGACAAGGAAGGGTTTTAACAGCCATCTCACTGAAGCTCTAGAAAATGCGCAGCAGCAATAAGCAGGATGCCCTCATGTCAAAAATGTGAATGTTCTCAGACAGAACGGGCTCAGTACAAAAACCTGAAGAGAATAAGACCCATACTTCAAAGAATTTTAAGAGTATCAGCAGCAGCAAACAAAAATTCTCAAGTGCCCCGAAAAAAACAACAGGATCAGAGTGACATCAGACTTCACAACAGAAACACCCGAAGCCGGTCGAGGGTGATGTTCCGTTTTCAAAGTGTTGGAGAGAAAGTTTTGAAACCTGAATTTGACGTCCTTGCCAAGCTGTCCCTGGACAGCAAGGCCACCGTCCCTTGGGTCTCCAAGCCCGGTGTGGTACCACAGTGATGTGGATATTTGCCACATTTGCCACATAACCTGCTAGTCAGGAGAATGGGGGACTCGTGTTAAGCTGCCAGCCGCACCTCCATGGGCGTGGGGCAGAGGGGGAGAGCTGGGTCACTCGGCCGGGGAGGGAGGGCCACCCGCCGGCTAGGGAAAGCGGCCGGGCAAGTCAGCAGGGCAGGCTGAGCACCCAGAAGCGGCGTGACCTCCGCGAGACTACTGGCAGGGTGACGAGCTTTTAAACCATCTGGATGAGGTGGCATCCCTGCAGCGGCAAGCAGGAAAGGCCGGAAAACAAAGGAGAATAAAGCAGATTAACAAAGCCTGGTGCAAACAGCTGCATACGATGAGCGTGCACAATTGCCTCCACGGGGACCCAAGGGCTTTGGTGCTCACAAGGAGGGCAGCCTTGGGCCGGGACTCCAGACCTAGCCTTGTCTCTGAGGACCGTGGACAGCCTCACTCTGCAAGGGTTATGTGGCTGTGACAAGAGAAGCCCCTGGCCCAGCTCTGCAGAGCCCTGGCGAGTGGACTGGACCTCGCGCTGCACAGGCTGCCTGGGCTGAGGAAGCCCCGCCCCTTGCGGCCCTACTGAGGGCAGGTGTGGGTCCCCTGCCTTGTGAGCAGGTGCTTCTGGTGCTAGGCCCTGGGATTGCTGCGCTCAGCCCGTGGACCTGGAAATGTGGCCTGGCCGTACTTAGGCAAGAGTATTTGTGGGCAGCTGACTCCTGCCAGCCCCAGGAAGCCCTGTGGGGCCTGTGGGCAGCGGTACCATGTGAAACCCAGTGAGTTAAGAGTTAAGAGAGGAGCAGCTGCTTTCCTGTGGCCTCATTTGCTGGTTTCTGTGGGCTCTGCGGTGGTGGCCTCCTGGGCACCAGCACAAGTGTGCCTGGGCAGGGAGGCCTGATAGGTACCTGGACCGTTCAGCCCTGCTCCTCCCTGGGGGTGGGGGTGGGGGTGCCCCACACAAGGGCGGGGTTCATCCCGGTCCCTGGTGCTCTGGGGGACACCCAGAAGCTGACCCAGGCAGAGGCAGATGGACCTGCGAAACAAGCGCACAGCCCAGGCGCCCGACAGCACACCCGGGGTGTGGCAGGTCCTGAGCCTGCCCCCAGTGTGGGAACCGCGCCCCCAGGGGAGGAGGGCCGGCCCAAGGGCTGGGCCGTGTGGCAGGCAGCCCGGGCGTCCCCCAGCACCTCCACCTGCCCCTCCTGTCCTCAGGGAGGAAGCAGCAGTGAGGGTGGAGAACATCACAGGGCAGGTGGCCCATGGAGCGGGTTGGACCCAGACTGTCACTGGGCACTGAGCGTCTGGGCTGTAGCCCCTGTCCTGTGCCCTCCAGCACCAGCCCAGGTAGCTGACATGTACAAGGGCAAAGGATCTCAAGGGGCAAGATGAAGGCTCTGGAAAGAAACAACTAGTGACCAGCCGCAGCAGAGGAAGCCCCATTAATGGGCTGCTGTGTCCAGAACTTCAGGGTAAATATGATAAATACCCCAGAAGGGAGAACAGACGACAGAACAGAAATGGACAAGGAAGGGTTTTAACAGCCATCTCACTGAAGCTCTAGAAAATGCGCAGCAGCAATAAGCAGGATGCCCTCATGTCAAAAATGTGAATGTTCTCAGACAGAACGGGCTCAGTACAAAAAACTGAAGAGAAGACCCATACTTCAAAGAATTTTAAGAGTATCAGCAGCAGCAAACAAAAATTCTCAAGTGCCCCGAAAAAAACAACAGGATCAGAGTGACATCAGACTTCACAACAGAAACACCCGAAGCCGGTCGAGGCTGATGTTCCGTTTTCAAAGTGTTGGAGAGAAAGTTTTGAAACCTGAATTTGACGTCCTTGCCAAGCTGTCCCTGGACAGCAAGGCCACCGTCCCTTGGGTCTCCAAGCCCGGTGTGGTACCACAGTGATGTGGATATTTGCCACATTTGCCACATAACCTGCTAGTCAGGAGAATGGGGGACTCGTGTTAAGCTGCCAGCCGCACCTCCATGGGCGTGGGGCAGAGGGGGAGAGCTGGGTCACTCGGCCGGGGAGGGAGGGCCACCCGCCGGCTAGGGAAAGCGGCCGGGCAAGTCAGCAGGGCAGGCTGAGCACCCAGAAGCGGCGTGACCTCCGCGAGACTACTGGCAGGGTGACGAGCTTTTAAACCATCTGGATGAGGTGGCATCCCTGCAGCGGCAAGCAGGAAAGGCCGGAAAACAAAGGAGAATAAAGCAGATTAACAAAGCCTGGTGCAAACAGCTGCATACGATGAGCGTGCACAAAGCCCCTAGGCTGCATTAAATGTTACTTAGCAGTATTTTAACCATAAAAGCACCTGGGAGGGTAGACATACAAGCCCACAGAGTGAACCAAAAGAAAGCGGGTGCGAGTGTTACCATCTCAGGGTGAAAGCATCGTAACCAACTGTGTGTAAATATATACATGTGGGTGTGTGTGCAACACTAGAGGCTCAGGGATTCAAGAGGCCATGAGGGAGAGAGCAGGTTGAAATAATGCAGTTTTAACAGGTTCTTCCTAAAAACCAGTAGGCTGAGCAAACAGGACATAAGGAATGATAAAAATTGAACAGCATACACAAAGCTTACATACACACACCCCCTATTCACAGACCCTACGTGTACTCACACAGACACATTTATATTTAAGTATATAAGCATGACACACAGCAAATGGAGAATAATGGAACATTTTATAAAACCAAAATTCCTCCTTTGAAGACGAGTAAGAAGAAAAAAAACTCTAGCAAGATTGATAATTTTTTTAAACACGAAGAAGAATATAGACGGGAGAGTCAACTACAGAAACAAATCCGACATGAGTGTTGCAAACAACTACGTACCACTAACTATGACATTTTTAAATATAAATTTTGGGGAAGATTTAATAAGATGCCAGGTTTGGTGTAGGTAGAAATTTTTAAAAACTTTAATAAACTGATTAGTAAATGCAAATAGTTTAATCAAAGCTCTCCAACTCGCTGTCTGCACCCGCCCCCCACAAGTGCCTGGGACAGACGTAAGCATACGTGGTTGTACCAGATTTTCTAATAGGAACTTATCTAATAGGAATTTTCAAGAAAGTTTAAATAGAGGAAAAGCAGCTCACCTCATCTCATCAGGCTAGTATCAAGTTGGTACAAGGAAAGAGAATTTATAGACTCATTCCACGTATGCAGAATCCTAAGTAAATATTAGCTATGCAAATAAAAACATTTGAAAAAAATACCAACTGGATCCAGTGGGAATTGGACTTGATTAAACTGTCAGGAAACGTGTTGGGTGTATTTGGGTTGGGTAAGAGTCAGAAGACTGTAAAGGCAGAGAGAGTATTCCATAGAACCCAACATCTCTTCAAGACATAAATTCTTGGAGATGGACACAGAAAGGTGCTTTCTTGACAGTGGTTATGAGCCCAGAACCTACTGCACTTGTAATGGGAATACCCGTGGATTCAAGTCTCTGCCCAAGCCACCGCAGGGCCTCCCCGGCACCAGCCTGGGGTCCTGTTTATCGAGCTCCATGGCCCTGATGCCACAGCCTGGGTCTCTGGCTGCCCTCCCCCTAGAGAAGTCTGGGAGGCGGGAGCTCTGCCTGCTTCATGCTGGACTACCGGGACGGGATGTGGGGAGAGCCTAGCCAACACTGTGGAAGGAATGAATAAAGCCCCTTAAGACCAAGCATTGAGAGGGGTCACCCCCACCGCCACCCCAGGAGAGCTGGGAAGGCACCAGATGGCACTGACTGGTGAGAACTCAGACGTGGGGGCTGCTGGGGAGAGCCGGACCTGCCGTCTCCAGAGACAGGACTGTCGCTATGGAAAAGCTAAAAGGGCCAACGGCCTGGTGTGACCGAGGAGATCCGGCAGGGTGGGGCCCCCGTGGGTGCCCGTGGGGCAGGCGGACAGAGTCCTTCACAGAGGCAGTGACCGGCTAGGAAACGGCACAAGGGAAGATTTCTGTGAGCAAGGCAACAGGACCCGTCTACATCTGGGGATTTATCCAGCCCAGGGGTGCGGGAAGCCAGTCTTCAGGCTCCCATCTGGCGGGTGCTCGTCACTGGGCGAGAGGCCCGTGGTGACAACTGGAGGAGCGATTTGGGGTGTCTGCCACAGAGAAGGGGTGACACCGGGAGTGGCAGAGGTGGCCAGGAGGAGGTGGGCCCAATGGCCCCCAAGGGTGTGGGTGGAGAAGCCGAGATGTATCCACACCCTCCTGGGGGGCAGGGATTGGGCGTCCTGGGCTCTAGTCTGGGTGTGGACAGTGTCGGCGGGGAGGCGTTGGAGGCCAGGGCTGGGCCGCTCCCCCCTTGCCGGCCACAACGGCATGGGACAGTGGCACAGCCACCCAGCAGAATGGCCACGTCCAGGAGGAGAGGCCCCAGAAGGTTCTGGAGCCATTGGGAACAGCTGGCCAGATGTGCAGAGTGACACAGAGAAAGGCCACAGTGAGATGAGACGCGAGAACAAGTCACAGGAGCACATGCCCTTTATGCAAATCACGTGTCCCTAAAAGGACATTGAGAGGTCTGAGGACACGCAGCACACACAGCAGGGTGGCCGTGGGGCAGAGGTTAACACTGGGCATCCCCAGGTCGTGCAGCAATGCGCTGGACTCCACCCCGATGTCCCCAACTGACTGAGGGGGGGCTGTCCAGTTGTGTGACGGCACACGCCTGGCCTCTGCTCCCGTGAACACGAGGGCAGGAGGGGACTGCCCACTGCCTGCTTGGGGCTGGGCGCTGAGGCATGCCAAGTGGCGGGCACAGGGGTAGACCTGGACCCACCCCATGCCTCGGCCTCCCTGCCCAGGGCAGCTGTGGGGAACGGGCTGGGCTGCGACTCCACAGCCTCCTGCAAGCCGTGTCCCCACCTCCAACAGGAAGGGCTGGGCTCCATCGGCGTAGGCCTGCTGCCTGAGACCCTCTGCGGCACGGCAGGTGCGGCTGTCTTCACGGGACCCTGTGAACGGGGCTGGTGGGGTTGGGGTGTGCCTCCCAGGAAGTGACCCTGGAAGGCCCCCATGATTCCCAAGAGGACCAGCTCTGCAAGAGGGCAGGTCAGACCCTCCTGCTGAGGGGCCCAGCACCCCTCAGGGCGGACCCCAGGCGGAGCAGAGGCGCCTCGGAGGGGCCTGTGTGGCCCCCGCCTCCTGCCCACAGCCCCTGGGCTCCTCACGCCTTGCTTCCTGGTTCCACTGTGGTGTCTTACCCGGAGCTGGCCTGGCCTGGTCCTCCCCAGGCGCACCCCTGCCCCAAGACAGCCCCGGCAGGCCGGCCCCTTCGCCCATAAGAGCGCCCTACTCCTTGCCTAGGGGTACAGGGCCTTCAGCCGCTTTGCAGATGGAAATTCCCCAGGTCACGAAGCCCCTGCAGGTCGCAAAACCCAGGACTTCCAAACCCACTTTGCTCCCTGAACTGAAGATCCCCGTTACAGGGCAGGGACGCGGGGGCCAGCCTGCCTCTCCCCCAGGGAGCTCAGGGCCAGCACCAGGGACGAGCAGGTGGGCTAGGGCGGCTGGGCTTCCCAGGGCTGCGGCCCACGGGCTCCTGCCTGACGCATGTGTGCACACACATACACGCGTGTTTGCATACTTGCAGGTGGGCACACGGCCTCGGTCACCAGCCTGCCCCACAGCAGCTCCAGGAAAAGCTCTGCTAACCCAGGTCACGAGTGGGACGGCCGAGGCCCTGTATGGCCCTGTGACCTGGCCCCCAGACCAGCCTTTCCCTGAGCCCCGGTCTGCCCCTCCCCCGGTCCTGGGGAGCCCCCGCCCAGGACGCCCTTCCTGCCGCCTCAGGCCTGGGAGGCACCGTGGAGGCCAGTGGTAGGTGCTGCCCTTGCCGGTGTGCACCGCCTCCACACCTGATGCAAAGAGCAGCCTCCTCACTCGGTGCTGCCCTGCCCAGTCCCTCCTCCTGCCCACCCTGCAGCCGCCTGGGCCGGGAGGGGCAGCAGGGGCCCCCCCAGTCACCACTTATGCCAGCAGGTCGGAGCCGGGCCCTGGCTTTCATCCACCCAAAAGCAGAGCCCCAGTGGGACACAGGCGGATTCTCAGGAGAATGATGGTAGCCCCCCACCCCCCAAGGACAGCACCAACCCAGCTGACGGGCACTGGAGTGGGCACGGGAATAGGAGGGCTGCCAGGGGCCTCCCAGTCTGGGTGCCTGGCCCAGCAGCCAACAGCCACCACCCAGGCACACCGACACCCTCCCCGGGGAAGCGGGACATGGCCCGCCTAGGTCAGCCAGCCAGCTTAGAGGCAGCCTGCTGCACCCCATGTGCACATTCCAGCCTGGGGGCAGACAGGCTAGGAGGGACACCCCAGAGCGACCCCCAAGGCTCTGCTGTGTCCTCGAGCCCCTGGACCCACCGGTCAGACTTAGCTCTGCAAGGGAGTGAGTGGGGACAGGCATGGAGACCCACTGGCCTTGCCCGCGATGCTCCAGAGGACCGATGGGACAGGGTCAAGGGTGAGCACAGGTGAGCATGGATGGGCCGGACAAGCCCGGGACCTGGCACAGGTGGCCACACGTGGCACCTTGGGAAGTTCTGGGGACTCGCGTGCCTTCCCTTTAGCTCAGATTGGCTGTGGAGATGCAGGAATTAAAGACACTCTTTACTGTCTCTGGAAGAAGAGTGCCGATTTTACAGCAGGGTCACATCCCTGTAGCTCGCCCAGCTCTGGCTAAGTGTCCAGCCCTGGGCATTCACAGCTCTCCTTGGCCCACGTGGGGCAGTGGGACAGGAGGGGCACAGGGAGAGCTGGTCCTCTGCCCACTGGGGGATAGGAGGGTGGGGTGAGGATCCGTGGGGCCCACGTGGCTCCGAGAGCCGGAGGACACCCCGGGGGCGGGGGCAGTGTGACCCTCCCCCTGGGAATGTCCTCAGCAGCACCCACGGGTCCTTGGGGAGCTGAGGGCCCATCCCGGCTTCTGGGACAGGCCCACGTGCTCCCTGCCGTCTGGCACGGCCGCTCGCTGGAGCGGGGCTGCAGCTGCCTGGCCTCGTGAGGTGCGGGCACAACGGGCTACACATCTGTCTCCATGCGCAGCCGCTCCATCCTGCGCATGTTGTCCTCCACAGCCACAGGGCTGGTGATGTGCTGGGCAAAGTCCTCGGGGAACCATCCTGTCTCTCCATCCCTCAGCCTCTCGCCGTAGAACCAACCTGGACCCAGACGTGGGGCAGGTGAGGGTAGGGTCCTGGGAACCAGGGACAGGCCCCGATGTCAGAACCCCACGCCTCTGAGCTGCTGTTCTGGAAGACACCAGGGCCAGGCAACACTTGGAGCGGACTGCCCCCTCCTCCTGCCTCGGGGGCCTTGCCAAGGCCGCGTGCGCACCTAGCTTCCACTAGGCCCTCCACCCGCCACCGCCACAGCTGAGCTGGCTCCAGCGGGCTTTGTCTGCCCTGCGCAGGCGCACACAGGGTCCCCAGGGCACCAGACATCCTCCTCCTGCTTAGGACACAGCGACAAGCAGTCCTTAGGGACTTGGGGACATTGGAGGCGTCCCTGCAGGGGGGTGCCGGAGGGTGGAATCAGGCCGCCATGAGCAGAGCCCATGCCGGCGTGCTCCGGACCCTCGCAGGGCTCCGGACGCCCCAAGTGCCAGCCCACCTGCCGCACAGCCCCGCTCACCGTCCGCCCGCCCCAGGATCAGCACCACGTCAGCCTGCTGCAGTGTGACCTCGTCCGCCTCCTTGGCCAAGTAGGCCCTGGTGATCTCCACCTGCAGCAGGTCTGTGGCACGGGGAGGGTGTCAGGGATGGGGGGGTCCCAGGGCGGGTGGCCTGGGAGCTCTGCAGCCCATGCTGGGCAGGGCTTCCCATCCCAAAACATCCCCCATGGCCTGGCTCCCCTGGGGCTGGGGGGGTACCCCAGAGGTCTCAGCTTCCCTTTGGCTAAAGCAGGAGCCTCCCCAGAAACCAAAGGACAGGCTGTCCTGCTTTCAGGACCAGGGCGCCAGTGCCAGTGGAGGGGGCCCCCAGCCCCCACCTCTAAGGGGACCAGGGTGGGGCTGGAACTGGGGAACAGAGCTGTGGGCCAGCCTGCTCCAGCCGCCGGCCTGTTCTCCCCAGCTCAGGGTGGGTGAGGACTGAGACCGCGGGTCTGTGTGCACAGGGGTGCACATGTGCCAGGGCTGGGGCCCCCGCCCGGCAGGTCACCCTGGGGGCAAGTGGCGATGTGGATGCCCCCCTCCATGCCACCCCCGAGCCACCTGGTGTGGGGCAAGTGCTCACCTTCTTTGCTGGGGGGGCCTTGCCTCTGCCGCTCCCCGTGGGTGAGCGCCATGACCCACCGGGCACGGTCACTCCTGGGGGCCAGGGAGAGCGTGAGTGAGGCCCCAGCCTGGTCACCCCCCCACCCCGCCGTGTGGCACTGCGGGAGCCCTCGAGGTGGGACACGTGCACACTGCCTGGGCACCCTTTCATGAGCTATAAGTGGGCAGTCCCTCTGGGCCCCCCAACCCACTATGCTCAGGAGCCCAGGCACGGGAAGACCCAGGGTGGGAGGGGTGGCAGGCAGGCGTCACCCCGGCGGACTGGCCTGTGTCACACCTGTCCCTGTCTAGGGTCAGAGTCGGGAGGCAGCAGCACCCCAGACCCCAGGCCACCCTGTTCCCTGCTGCTGTGCCTCCAGCCCCTTGTCAGTTCGCTATTGGAAACCCTCAGCCTCAGCCTCCCATCTGCTAAGGAGGCTGTGCAGGAAGGAGCCACTGTTCCTTCCCGTTACCTGTGGGCCTCTCACTGTCCCCCACTGCCCCAACCTGTGTTCCGGCCCCACGTCTTCCCACTGCTCCGTGGCAGGGGCCGCCTGCCTCAGGGCCTTCGCATGGCCGTGCCCCTGCGGGAGCGGCCCCCAGCTCTGCCTTGTGGCGAGGCTTTCCTCACCACCCCACCGGCTTGCCCCACCCTGCCCCGCTGTCTCCTCAGCCCTCGCCCCTGCGGGAGCCGGGCACTTTGGCCGCTCCCTGTGCGAGTGTGACCCCGTTGGGAGCGTGGGCTCCGTGAGGACAGGGCCGTCCCCGACACCCACCGCGGCATGCGGCACAGTGGTGCTCGGGACACTGGGCTTGAATGCGTCCCAGCAGAGCGGCCCTCTTGTCTTACGCGGAGTCGGCAGACAGCAGGATCTTCTCCTGGCGGCCCTCGCTGTTGCGCAGCAGGACCACCTGGAACAGGTACGGCACGGAGGAGCTGCGGTTGCCGCCCCCTGGCAGGTTGGTCTCCGAGGGCTCCACCTTCTGGACCTGGACGTCATCCACCTGGGCGTAGTCCTGGACCACGAAGCTGTCCTCACTGCGGGGAGATGGGCGGCTGGATGCTGCGGGAGTCCGTGGGCAGCGTGGGTCTCCCCGCCCAGCTGGCTCCTCCGCAGCAGTTGGGGGCCGGCCAGCCAGGTTGCTCCTGAGAGCTGACCTCCCTGGAGAGCAGAGGCCTCAGCTCTAGGGTCCTCGAGGCCTGGGCAGGCAGGCGCAGGCCTACGGACAGAAGCCAGAGCCAGCACAGGAGAGGCACGGGCCATCCCACGTCACGGTGTGGCGCTGAGCGTCCGCAGGAGGCTGCATGCGTGTGTCTCAGCGGGGCCACTGCCCGGGGCAGGCCCGGCTGGGAGGGGGCCCTGTTGTGCACTCCGACTCTGAGGTCAGGAGGCATAGGTGGCACCCCCAGGCCCCAGCCCACTTCCCCACCCCCCAGGCCATGCCTTCTGCCCATGCCCCACTGGCAGGGCCCACCTCTTCTTCCTGGTGACCACCAGGACGTCATTGAACAGGAACAGGTAGCATGTTGGCCGGCTGGCGAGTTTTCGGAAAAGCCCGGTTTCTTCTGCCACAGAAAGCTCCCCACGCTTCAGCAGCCAGCGGGAGGCAGAGATCAGCGGGAGGGACTGAGGGGGGACAAGCCCAGGAGAGCACTGAGTCCTGGGGCGCAAGACGTGCAGCCTGCCTCCGAGGTCACCTGGGGCTGCACTGACGGACGGAGCATGGCCCAGCTTCAAACAAAGCGTCCTTCAGTCGGTGGCAGGTGCTCTGTGCCAGGCTCCGCCCGGCGACCCAGTCAGGCCCATCCTGCCTCTGACCAGGCCCAGGGGCTCGCTGGGCCCCCTGAGCGCTGCTCTGAGCTGGGAGCAAAGGCCGCCCGGCGGAGGCCCCCACACGAACCTCACACCAGGCAAGGGAGCTCGGCAGCGTTGATGCACAGCTTGGGTGAGGGGCTGCCCACTCTGCGGGCCACCTCTGTGCAGGGGCCTTTCCTGCAGAGGGGCAGCCTCCCCGCTGCAGCCTGGGAAGCGGGCCTGGCCAAAGCACAGAGGAATAGGGGGCATAGGCGGCCAGGCCCCTGCCCTGCTGTGCGGACCCTCCATGGCCATGGCCGGCGTACGCCTGGCCTGGGGCTGGCACTCAGACCCAGCTGGCCCCCAACCCAGACACAGCTGATGCTTGGGGGCGCTGGGAAGGAGTGGGCTGTAGGCAGGCAGGGCGCTCGGGAGGGAGGGAGGAGGGCCTGCCCGCTAGCCTCTGCTCCCCAGACATGCCCTCAACACCCCACACCGCTGGGCCCTGAGCACCCCATGCCCCCGGCTCTGGCCAGCACCGTGGCGGTCGGCCTGCTCTCCCGCCCCCATGCCTGCTTCAGGACTAGTTACGAGGTGCCGCAGGGGTGAGAGGCCCGCTCAGGGTGAGCCAGGCCTGGGACCAGGTCCTGACTCTGACCAGGGGCATACTCCACCCCACACAACACGAGGTCTGCTGCCTGGTGAGGAGAGGGTCAGGGCACCACATATGTGATCTGCACAGGCTTTGGGGTCAGCGAGGCAGCAGGCCATCACCACCCTGATGCCGCCTCTGGGAAGCCCACCACGGCCCACCCCAAGGAGCCTGCCCCACTTGTTGAGGCCTGTGTGCCTACCCTCCGTGGCTCTGCTGCCCCCTGCCTGCCATGCCCATGGCAGTGGCCCCATGGTGCTCTGGCCCATTGGACAGCCTTTGGGGGTCAGCAGCTCAGCCTGGTTGACGGTGAGCTGAGGCCGGCCCACAGGGCTGCCTGGGCCCCAGTATCCCTCTGCGTCCCCTGCCTCCCCTGCTGTGAGCCCATAGGGCTCTGGGGCAGACAGGCCAGTGGAGGGGGTGCCAGGCTTAGTGGGGGTGGGCAGAGGCCGCCTCGGGGCCAGATTTAGGCAGAGCATTTCCCACAAGGACAAGACCTTCCCAGGGGGGTGCTTCCTGCATTGGGCAGGGACCCAACTGCCCGGGGGCACAGCAGGCTCGGGGGCAGGGGTCTGCTGGCGTGGGCAGCCACTGGGGGATGGCGGGAGACCTATGGGGGTGGAAGTTTGAGCCCGGGCTGCTTGAGACGGGTGTAGGCTGCCTAGGCCCCCTCCCCCAAACTGACAGGCCATTCCTGGCCTCACAGGGAAGCCCGAGACCCAGTTGGCCGTGATGCCTCATCTCTGTCCTTAGCATGGCCAGCAAGGAGCTGGCTCAGGGTGGGGCCTCCACTGGGGCTGCCGCCTGCTCCCCTTCGGGTGGGTCTCCCCTCCAGCCCTGCAGCTCTGGGGGTGGGGGACACAGGCCAGAGAGACATGTACACCACTGACCTCAGGCAGGAGGGCTGTGGATGTGAGCCCCATGGCCAAGGGGGGTAGGAGCCACCAGGGATGCTCCCAGATAGGGAAACAGGCCTGGGGAGGCTGAGGCAGAGACCCCAGGGAAGGCGGGCATACCCCAAGGCCCCTCTCCAGCTGGGACACGCAGGGGGCCATGCCCCTGACCTGAGAGCCCCTGGGCTGGCACAGCTGCCTACCTTGACCTTGCTGAAGTCCAGCTGTGTGTGCAGCGTATACATCTGCTCCGTGCGCTCCATCCTGTGGGCCCCCTCATTGCACTGTCTCACCAGCTGCAACGCATGTGCACCCTGAGTGGGCTGTGCTGGGGTGTACCTGCCCCGGTTGCCTGCTGCACCTCCCCGACAGCTCCCTGGCTCCCACCCTGTGTGCCACCACACCCCCTCTGGGTCTCACTTGCACCACTGGTCCCATGGAAAGCCTGGGGTGGGCAACATGGAAGCCCTCCCTGCCCACCCTCAGGGTTCTGCCTCCAGATGGGTCTGGGCTGGGTCTCGGTATGGCCTCCCCTTCCCTAGCCCCCCTCACCTTGCTCATGGCCTTGAGTGCACGGCTGGCAGCCTTGTACCTCTCAGGTTGGCCCTGGGTCTTGAGGCACAGCGTCTACAGAAAAGATACCAGACATGTGTGCCAGGTGCCCTTAGCAGGGCTCAGGGGCCTGCATGGGGTGGGACTCACCTACCAACACCAGACCCCAGTGGGGGCTGCAGGGAGGCCAAGGGCTGGTGTCCAGAGGTCCTGCCAGGCCCTACTGAGGTGCACAGCCCCCAAAGGGCTCTGCCAGATCAGGTTTGGGTGGAAACCTGCAGCAGGTGCTCCCCAGGACACCACCTTTCTAGTCTGTCTTTCTTGGCCTGGAGGGGAGGCCACCCACAGCACCTATTTCTACACTTACCAGAGGGCCCTGCAGGGTCCGATGTCCTACCTGCTTGGACAGCTGATCCTCTAAACACTGGCCCCATGCTGCCCCTGGAGCCTAACTGGGCTCCTGCCATGTGTGTGCTCACATGTGCATGTCTGTGCACACTTGCATGTGCACAGGTGTACCTGCCAGTGTGCACATGTGCCTTTCACCCGCCACATGCTCCTCTGCCCCAAAGCTGGTATGTCCGAGGCAGGAGCCATTCCAGGGAGCTCCCTGGAGCCCCTACCTCTATCTGTGGAAGGGGGACAGTGATTAGGGCCCAGGCCACCCCAGGGGTGCATGCCCAGCACAAGGGGCCAAGGGGTGCTGGGACAAGGCAGCGACCGTCTCGGCCTGGTGCTCGGCAGGGTCTGGGAGGCACTGGTCCTGACTCACCGTGAATCAGCCTCCTGAACCGGGCGAGTGAAGGAAGACCTGCAAAGCCCTGGAAGGGGTCCCGGCAGAGGGGCCGGTGGGCGATGGTGGCAGCGGTCACGGCTGCTAAAGCCTCTGAATTGTGCTCCTAGCTATTAAGTGCAGAGCCTACTGGGCAAAGCGTGGAGCTGCGGGTCACAGGAGCAGCGCCCGTCGGCTGGGGCCTGGGCCCGTACTCACGTCGGTCAGGAGGGGCAGCCGGGTCACCCTCTGCATGGGGAGGATCAGGAAGGAGATCATAGGCAGCCCCCTGCATGCGGGCCGCTTCTCGATCTCTCTCAGGGCCTCGCGGAAGGCGGAATTGCTGCTTCTGAACAGAGAACAGGGCTTCCTTCAGCTGCGGCGGAGGCGGGCGGCCCACACGCAACTGAGCAGGACCTGCGGAGGCCAGGCTGCGGGCAGGACCGGCCCAGACGGAGCACTCACGTCAGCCTCTGCAGGGCGCGCTGCTGGTAGACCTCGTTGGAGCAGTAGGCCACGTAGGGGTGGAAGTGCTTCTCCGCGTGCTCCTCCAGGATGTCGCTGATGTCATCCACGCACACCTGTGCCTTGTGCCGCTGCTCCAGGTCCTCGAAGAACCTAAGCGGGGAGGGTCTGCTTGTCCGCCACGTGCTTGTGCACAGGCATGCGCACACACGCACGCGCAGAGGGGACCAGCTAAGCTCCCGGGGGCCGCACTGGGCAGGCACATGGTGGACCGGCTGCCCAGGCCACACGGGGCCCTGGATAGCCCTCCTGACAGGGCAGCTATAAGCCGTGGCCTCCCAGGTATGATCGGCTCCTTGGACAGGAAACAACTGGGCACACGCCCATGGCCGAATCCAAGGCCACTTCCTGCTGGTTCTGGCAGAGACTGAACGGGCACCATGGATGCAGGACGGATGGAGAACCTGTCATTTTGGCTTGATTCCCTGGGACTTGAGTTGGAGCCACCAGGATCTGCCCAGAGCCCAGGCACCCTTTGCTCAGGGTCAGGGTGGGGCCAGGAGCTCTGGGAAGGCTCCACAGAGGTGATCACCAGTCCCCCGCTTGCCCCAGGGGTTCCCTTCTGAGACATTGTCTGAAGGGGGCTGGACCTGCTGCAGGGGGTCAGATGTGCAAGGCTACTGGCCAGGGCCTCCGGCACATCTTGCAGAGCCAGAAGGCATGGGGCCCCGAGGCCCCGTCTCTGCTCCAGGCCCTGGCCAAGGCAGCCGGGAGGCCCTCCCAGCCCAGGAGCGCTGGCCCTCTGAGCAACTTCCCCTGAGGGCCCTTCCAGGGCCGGGCTCCTTGGCCCATCCCTGGGCCTGCAGTGGCTTTGATGGGAGGGTCTTTCCCAAGTACAGCACTTAGGCTCCCTGGGCAGCCCACCTGGGAAACGAGACAGCTGGCTGACCTTTGGAGGTGGACCAGAGGGCAGTTCCCCTGCACAGACCCCCCCCCCCAAGAAAAAGGGACCCCCTGGTGGCCCACACACCTCACCAGGGAGTGACCAGGCCAAGGGCAACCAGTGCCACCATGGCCCTCAGTGTTCACCCTGTGTCCTGCAGTGTGACAATGACGCAGGGCTTGGGGGGCAGGACTCGGGGAGGGTCCTGGGTCCTCAGGGGCAGTAGGTTGGAGCAGTAGGCCACGTAGGGGTGGAAGTGCAACCCTGCCAATCTACGGGCCACTTGCCCCACAGAAGATGGGAGACTCACCCTGCCTACCCTTGGGGTTCACTGGGGGCAATGAAACCTTGGCTGGGAGGTGGGCAGGGCCTTCAGGTCCCACTCATGGGCCCCAGCAGGACCCTCGCCGCAGGGGTCCAGGCTTCCTATAGGCGGGAACATTCTGAGCCACCGCTGGGTGGTCCCAGCAGATGGGGATAGCGTGTCAGGAACAGACGGGGACCCTCTGCACTGGAGGGAATGCCAGGCCCGTGCTGCCCAGATGCAGGGCCCCACACACGCATGCAGGCAGGCCAGGCCAGGCCAGTCGTTCCCTCCCATAGGTGACCCTGAGGGTTTCGCCGCAAGTTCTGGGAGAGCTGGCCATCAGCCACTGACCCAGAATAGCTGGGACGGCCACCGGGAATGGACAAGAGCTGCCAGGACACATCTAGGGGAGGAGGCCGGGCTGTCCCACCTGGGGACAGCTGTGGCAGTTGGAGGCTCTGGAGAGGTTGGAGTAAACATGTGGTTACTGTGGGGACACGGTGATAGAGGGGACCGCCAATGGGGGTCAGGGCCCTCAGCCCTGCCATGCTGGGGGACATGGAGCAAAGGGTCAGAGGAGCTTGGTGGAGGGGCAGCCCCTTCCCACGGCCGCTCGGTGAAGCACTGCTGACAGCCCGTCTTCAGGGACAAGATATACCCAGGGCTGTGGCCTGGGAGCTCCAACGGGCCCGCGGGCCCCGGACTCTGTGTGCGGCTCAGTGGGGGTGGGCCCACCACACTGAGATCAGAACTGGCTGCTGAGCCACCCTACCATTTGCCCTTCTACCCACCTGTGGACCCACCCCATCGGGTTTGAGAGGCTCAGGGAGGAATCTCCTGGGGTACAGGGCAACTCAGGGCTGAGCCCTAGCTACATAGCTGGCTGCCCTCCATGGGAGGAAACACCCACATCCCCATGCACACACACATACATGTGCACTCACACACACAGGCCTGTGGCTGCACACCCAGCACACCCCCCACCTCACCCCCACACACTGCTCCCTGCCCCCTGTCCCCGCCCCCGCCATCAGCCCTGCGACCAGAGCCCTGGGCTGGCACCAGACATCGCTGGGCAGAACATGACCTGGGGTTGCAACTTGAGACCACCTTCTGCCAGCTCCGCCCTCTGGGCACCTCACACCTTGTCATTCAGCCCTCCTGGCAGGAACATGCCCGACACTCCACAGGGCTGTGCCCTGTCCTCCTGAACATCCTGGCAGCAGGGTACCTGGTGGGGGGGCACCAGCATGCCCACAGCCCCAGTGCTCAGCCAGTCCCCAGGGCCTATGGAGGCTCTTGTGCTCCCCGCTGGCCAGTGGCTGCTCCAAACAGTCCATCCGCAGGCCAGGGCCCCAGCCTTCCCCGCTGGGGCAGGCGGCTCCCGGCACCGAGGGGGCTGGGCACAGGCCTCACCTCTGACTGGCGCCCAGGACATCCAGGATGTTGGAGAAGAGGTGGTGGTGCTCTGTCTGCGTCATGGTGGCCCGCAGCTCTTGGGCCTGCAGAAACTGGGCCACCAGGATGCCCAGGCTATGCTGGTAGGAGAACTCGGATGTGAGGATCTCGAAAATGGCCTGGGGCGAGAGAGGGCTTGCGTGAGGCGCCCACCACGCGGGCCTGGTCCAGGCGCAGGCGACTAGCGCTCAGGTCACAGGAAGGCAATCTGGGGGCGGGGGCAGGCCAGACTCCTGGCTTCGTGCTCTGGCTCGGCCACTTACGTGCCATGGGACTGGATAAGGACTCATTTTGTCTGAGAAGGGGTAATGGCAGCCACCCCCGGCACGACCTGCCCAAAGGCATCGGGCGGCATCCTGACTAGTCCAGGAGGGGCCAATGTGCATGGCAGGTGGCGTCGCCTGGCATCATCCTCCCACATATATCGTGGGCCACGCTCCTTGCCCAGTCCCCTTACCTCCTGTCTCTTGCGCTCCTCAGCGGGCAGCTTGTCCAGGATGCCCGACTCTACCACCTGCGGACGACAAGCCCAGGAATCACGGGGCCACATCCTGGAAGCCCTCCTCCCTGCTGGCCAGAGCCACATGGGTGGCAGAGAGGCCCAGAGAAGGCGGGTACCCAGGCTGGCCTGGGCAGAGCCGCCCCTCGTGCGACGCCTGGGGCCACCCTCGCACAGCTTAGTGCCGCTGAGCTGGCCTGTCCCTGCAGGGTCCTGTCCCTCACATCTTCTCAACATGGAAACCGCCTAGCCCAGAACAGCTCTGGGCAGCGGATGAAGGGGACAGGCACTGGGAGGGAAGCCCAGGGGCCGGGCGGGGAGGGGCTCTGTCCCCCAGGCAGCCCTGAGGGCTGGGAAAGCTGGTGGGCATGGTGGGGGCAGGGCTGCAGCTCAGACAGCTGGGCCAGGTGTCAGCCCCTGCCTGGGGGGACGGGTCACTGTCCCAGCTCTCTGGCCCCGAGGCTGCCCTGGCTGAAGTGTGGCTCACTCAGCCCCCACGCCCTGATGTACCCCTGCAGAGCCTGCCAAGACAGCGGGTCCACTCTGCAGGGCCCAGGGCCACCTGGATCTCGCTTTCCTCCTCACTGGGCTGGGCAGGGGCCATCAACAGAGCCGGGTACAGGGCTAAACCCATGCCTCCTATGCAGCCAGAGGCTTGGCTGAGGTACCTTGAGCTCGGGTGGCTGAGATAAGAATCTCCATCAGCATTTTGAGGGCACCATGTCCTGGACCCCATGCCTGACCTGGGGGATTGTGCACACCCAGCTGCCAGCATGCAGCTGGCACCGGCTTTATAATAAATGTGCACTTCCAGACCTTTCCATCTCCCTGCTCTCACCCCCACCCTGGGGCACCCCTGGCTAGGGACCCCACACCACACGGTGTCGTGGGGGTTGGTGGGCAGTCCCAGTGCCCCAGCCCCACTTGTCTCCATGGGGAGGTACATGAGGAGGAGGCCACTGTCCCACAGGCCACCTCCCGGCCTCCCACCATGCCCACAGCCACAGCCAGCAATGTCCTTGGCTCTCGGGGAATGGGCCCAGGAGTCTGCCCCACGGCCAGCTGTGCCCTCTCGGAGAAGTGCCAGCTGCCCCCCCATGGATTTGCTCAGTACCAGGGCCTTCGTCGCACTGTGCTTTCTGCTGAGACCCCCACGGCCAGGCAGGGAAGGGCCCAGAGGGTTTGCAGTGTGGCAGGGGCTTGGCTCCATCGAAGGCGAGGCCTGGCTCCCTCCCCTGCCTCCTGTCTCCTGCCTCCTCACTCAGAGCCTCTGGGCAGGTTCTGGGGGCCCCGGGCAGAGCAGGGAGCAGAGGGCAAGGAGGGCCTGTGTCCTTAACTGCTTTCTCCCCTGGGCAGCACCCCCAGTCTGCCCTGCAGGGCAGGCAGCTCTGAGGGCACCAGGAAGGGGAGCCCGCAGCAAGCTGGGTACAGACAGGGCCCTCCACTGGGAGGGCCTGGGCTGGCTGCTGGGCCCGCAGGTGGGGAGGAGGTCCCCCCGTGCTGCCGCCCCCACCCCGGCCCTACCTCCGGCAGCCGGCTCCAGGTCACCTGTGGGGGCCGGTAGCTCCTGACCACGATGGGGCCGCCCACCTTCTGGGCTCCTTCGGGACCAGACGGCTCATCGAGCAGGTCGTCGTCAGACTCGTGGCTGGTGTTCAGGCCACGCTCCCGGACCTCCTGGTAGAACCGGGGGTCTGGGGAGAAGGGCTGCGTCATCTGTGGGCCTGACGGCTCCGAGCAGGCCAGATCCCCCAGAAACCCACAGGCCGAGCCTTCCCGAGGAGCCCCCGAGAGCATCAGGCAGCGCAGGGCCCCCCAGGGCAGGCTCCCCCAGGGCCGGCTGGCTGCCTTGGCTGTGCTGGACGCGCCCAGGACAGGGGTGGCGTCCCAGTGGGGAATGTGGCACCTTCAGGCTTGGCTGAGCCGACAAATCAGAGCGGGGCAGCGGAGGGGCTCTAGGTGGGGGACTGGGTGCTCGTCCCCAGAGCCCCCCACACGGAGTGCAGCTTCCCGCCCTCTGGCTGCACAGCGGCTGCTCCGGGATAGGCGGTGCGCGGCCCAGGGCGCCTGAACCCTCAGCTCCCCGCCACACCTGCTCCCTCGCTGGGCAAGCAGCTGCTGCCTGGACCTTGATGCCTCCCCACTCCCGGGCCTGTGGCTGTCCTCCGAGGTTGGGGGGTGGCAGGGAGGGAGGGCCCTTCTTGGCTGGGGCCACTGCCTCCTCAGGACCCTGCCCCTCACACCTGCTGGGCACTCCATCCTGGCTGGGAAGGCACCTACCCCTCGACCTGCCCCTGGAGTGCCACTGGCGTCCCACCCTCAGCGGCCTGAATTGCACGGCTGGGGCCCAGCCCATCGCCCACATCCCCAGGGGCCCATGTAGGCTGCAAAAATTCCAGGCAAAGCCCACAGCGTGAGTGTCTGCACCCCTGTGGCCTATGCCTTGTTTGGCCTTGGTCCTAGCGGCGCAGCCACTACGGGCCTGGCACGTGCATGACGTGCTTGACATCTCCCGGGGGTGAGTGTGGGGGCTCTGTCTGTCTCCTGATCCTGGGATAGCGCAGAAAGAGTCCAAGAGAACTTTCTCGACCCCTCAGAGCTGCATGGTCAGATGGACTACTAGGGTCACTGCAGAGATCGATCCTAGGCAACATACTCTGTGTCAGGTCATCCAAACCCTCCCCTCTCCCCGGACAGCCCCAGTGGGACCAGCCTCCTGGGGCCCAGCCTGCAGCCACCTCTGGAGGCCACACTCACCATCCTTGAATGAACCCTTGTGTGCACGTTTCCGCCCCAGCGTTCTCTGCACAAAGGAGTCACAGACACCAGCAGTCAGTGGGGAGGAGGGGCAGGTGTGAGTCTACACTACTCCCCCAGGGCCCAGAGACATCACAGCTCCACATGTTGGCTTCACAAGGGATATGGGGCCAAGTGGAGGGTGGGTAGGATGCAGCGGAATCAGGGTTCAGAGCAAGCAGGGCAGGTGACTGAGGGCTGGGCAGATCCAGGAGGACTGCCTGGAGGAGGAGGTAGAACTGAACTAGTCAAGTAAGGAGGGGTGTTCCTACTGGGTCTGGAGGGCGGCTCAAGCAAGGCAGGACAGGTGTAGCTGGGAAGGGCTGAGAAGGTGAGGGGGGAGCTGCACACAGGGGCCCAGAGACTGGGCCCTGGGGTGTCTGGGGGAGCTGGCAGGTTAGTGCTCTGTTCCCGGCACAGACGTGGGGTCCCGGAAGCTGACGGTGGGGTGGTGGTGGGTGGGGGCTGGCAGGGCTCTCAGGGGCCCCACTCCTGGGCCCCACCAGCTGTCACTCAGAGTGTGCTCTCTTGGCCAGGAAACACCATTTTCTGTGACTTTGAGGTGCGCTGGCCCCAGGAGCTGGTTTCTTGGAACAAGTTGGGGCCTGAAAACTCCCCTTGCTGGTCTGGAATACATGGTGCTCCCAGCCACGGCTGGCACCCCTCCAGCTTCCAGGTCTGGGCATACACTGGAGTCCTGGGCCCCTGCTGTACCCAGGACTCCCCATTAGCACACGAGCACCCCGAATGCCCTGGGAGCCCTCCTAGTGCCTGCTCACTGGGCTCGTCCCGGTGCCCCAGCACTGGCGTGCAGGCACTCAGCAAATGTCTGCTGAGCTATGAACCAGCAGCGAATGAACAGACAGGCCCTGCAGGCCTGGGCCTGGGTGAGCGCAGAGTGACGAGGTCCTGAGGCAGCTTCTGGGGCCCTGGCATCTCAGGTAGGCACAGCTATGCCCTACCTCCCAGGCCAGGGGTCCTTAACTGAGGACAATGGCTTTGGTGCCCTGCCCCATGGCTCTGTACCCTCGGTGCCAGCACTGATAGGTGGTTGTGCCACAGCCCATGGTCACTGCAGGCGTCTGTGGCAGAGGCGTCTGGGACAGCAACCTGGGCCCAGAGGGCCCTGAGCAGGCGCCCTTCCCGCCAGCCCCAATCTCCCGAGGATGGCGAGGGGGTACCGCTGTCAGGCAGGGACGGGAGGCATCAGGCTCCTGAGCTGGAGAGGCCAGGAGGAGTCGTTGTCCTGGGTCCCCCGCCGGAGCCCCTCTGGCAGTCTGAGCCCAGGCAGCTGCCGCCTCGCCGCCACTGCTGAAACCCATCCTTAGACAGGCCCTCTTGGGGCCCGGTGTGGGTGCTGGCTGCTCCTGAAGCTCTGCTCCCTGCCGTGGCTGAGAGCGGGGACACCAAAGCCTGGGGTCGTGGGTAAAACCCTGGACCTTTCTAAACCTCGGCTGCCTCGTCTGGGAAATGGGCACATTCACACTCAGCTCATGGCCTGGCCGTTGGGCTTCACTCGAATAAGCAGTGCCAGGATCCTGCACACAGTAGGTGCTCACTAAACAGCAGCCACATGAAGGCAATGTGACGGCCAGGCCCCTCCCTGCCCACAGCCCCCATCCAGGCACGCAGCCCCCTACCTTATTTCTGGTGGGGTGCCGAGGTGGTTGGCTGGGCTCCTCGGCTAGAGCCTGGAGCCTGGGGCTGAGCTGAATGGAGCCCCCCTCGCCTCCTGGCGGCCCTGCGCCCCTCATGGCCGCCCTGTAGGACTGGTTCCTCAGGTTCCGCCTCAGCATTGCACCGGAGCCCGTGTCCACGGCCATGTCGTCCAGGGAGAAGCTGGTGGTCGGGAAGAGCTGGGGGTCCCGCCGGGAGGCCTCCTTGCTGAGCATGGCTGCTCCGAAGCTCTGGTGGCGGGCTGGGGTCTTGGTCTTGCTGGTCATGGCCAGGCTCCGAGGGATCAGCTGCTGAGTGCCCATCCTGAGGGCCACAGGGCTGTGCGTACTCAGGACCACGGCCCTTGTCTCCTCACCCTCAGGGGCTGGAGGCGGGGGCGCCAGGGTGTCCAGCTGGGTGGCGGCATCGCCCCTAAGCTGCAGGGAGCCTCGGGCCATCCGGAGGCTGGGTGCTGGGTTCCCCTGGGCATCGAGCTGTAGTTCTGAGTGGAAGCGGCATTCCAGGAGCTTCTGTTCCAAGGAGCTGTCAGAGTGCCGCTGAGACATGCTGAGCGGTCACAGGGGCCTGGGGGCAAAGGGCAAAGGTCAGGGAAGCATGTAGACACCCACCCATGGCCCCGTCTCTTCCTTCTCAGCCTCTGCCTTGGCCAGACCCTGTGCCCGGGATGCAGCACTCAAAGGGTGGTGACAGCCTGCAGCAGAGCCGGCCATCTGTTGGCCCAGGACCCTAGGGAGGTCAGAGCCCAGCCGGCCAGGGAGGGTCGGGACAGTCTGAGCCGGACTGGAGCAGGGGACAGGTGGCTGGCTGTCCGAGCTGTAGGGGCTGGGGGGGAGCAGCCTGCACAGAGGCTGCCCTGCTAGGCCACCGAGTTTCCTCTGGTGGTGGCACACACTGGGAACAAATTCCTGAGCTGGGGGTGTAAGCGTAGGGCCATGCGTCCTGCAGACCTGGGCCAGAATCAGCCACTTGGTCTCCTGGCACCACCGCTCATGGTCAACATGAGGATGAAAAGCTTTTCTGGGCCTGCATAGAGAGCGTGGCAGGGACCCAGGCCTCGCCTTGCCCGGAGTCCCAGAGCAGCAGGGCCAGCTCTGCTGGGCTGGCGCGAGCACACTACTGCCTTCGCTCCCAGGGGCCCTGGGATTTATTCTCCTTTAGCAAATGAACAACAAGGCCCAGAGAAGCCTGGGGCCCCAATCTGGCTCATCCTGAGGGGCGGGGGGCACAGGAGCTCAGGAGGGCATCCTGCGTGGGGTGGCCACGCCTGCGCCGACCCAGCACCTCCTTCTGCTGCACTGACAGCTTGCGGGCACTGGCTTCCAACTTCGTAGATCGAAACGTGATACAGAGAGAACTCACTCCTACAATTCTTCCCCCTCTGCTCTTAAGAAAAACAAGGACAGCTAGTGTTTATCCAGCTCATACTCATGTAAAACTTGTATACACGAAAATGATGAAGGCCAGGAGAGGGTAGAAGCCTATTTTCAGATGGAGAAACTAGGGTTCCAAGCCACCGGCCCCAGGTGGCCCTGCTGGGAGTGAGACTCACCTTGGAGGTCCGGCATGGCACCCTGTGCCATTGCCTGCAGGTCCGGGGAGGACACTGACCTAGGAGTTTAGCCAACCGCTTTGTGGAAGTGAGGGTGTGACCTGCTCTCAGCTGCCCTGGGGGGTGTGCAGCCAGAGGTGGCCAGGCCCTGTGGCCAGGTGCTGGGCCTCTGGAGTCAGGGCTCCCTGGACCGCCAGGACCCACTAAGCCAGGTCCCAGCCTGAGCCCACCTCTCATACTTGATGCCCATCCCACCTGGTCCCTCACAGGGTTTGAAGCTCTGGCCCCATAGTCTGCCAACATCACAGCAGTCACAGCGCTGCATCCACTGGAAGCCTGGCTCTCTGCCCACAAGGCTCTCAGCACACAGGCGCTCTGCTGCCCCCGTCCCAGGGAGGTAAGTGTGCCTGAGCCTCCCGGCCACAGGGAGGGGCTGCCCAGATCCCTGGCCTCCCCCACAGCAGGATGGCCCACGCATTCCTGGGGACATTCCGAGTCACCGGCCAGCGACCCAGCGACGGCAGCAGCCCACTGGGCCTCCCCCTGGACCTGGAAGCCAAGGGCGGGTCTGCCCTGCCCCAGATACCCTCCCCCCTTGTCCACCCATCTGCATTTGCCCAGCCCTAGCCAGGAAATGGGTCTCTTTAGACTTTATGTATGCTTGCCGGACAGAGGGCCCCAGTGGGCAGCCCGGGCCTGGGCTTCTGTGGCCCCTTTACTCTACAGGGAGGCGGTCACTGTGGGGCATTCTGCACTGTTCATAAGAACAGGTGGCGCTGAAGGGCCGGCATGGTGACTGCGCCCCAAGTGCCTGTAAGTCCCCTGGCCCTTCCTCCCCCTCCTTCCCGTCTTGGGCCTGCGTCTTCCTGACCCCTTCCTCAAAGCTGGCACCCCAGACCCAGCCAGAGGAACGGCCTCTCCCAGTGAAGGGCAAAGTCTGCTTGGGGCCAAGGTTCCCAATGGAACCTGTCGGGTGAGCCATGGGCGTGACCTCTGCTCCTAGCAAGGCGGCTGCACCCACAGGCCTGCGGCGCCTCCAGCCGGGTATGGGACCTGGGCGGGGGCACAGTCCCACGCAGGAGCTCCAGGGCCCTGGCTCTGTCACGGTCCACTGCACCTGCCCCCCTCTAATGCTCAGCTTAGCGCCTAGCTTAGCACCGAGCTACCAGACGCAGGGTCGTAGGCAAATAGCACCAAAAGGCTTATCAGAAAAGACAGGCACAGGCGTCCCTCCCAGCGGATCTGCCCTCCGGGCTCAGCGGCTTGTCCCTAACTTTTCAACAAGGCACAGACTGCTATCTGCGGTCTCCTAAGTGTGGGCACTCCTGGGCCGCTCCTGCCTCTCCGGGCGGTGTGTGGAGGTTGCACCAGCCCCTGGGTGTGTGTTTGCAGGGCCGGCTGGTCAGAGCCCCGGGCTAGCACCACACCTCCCTCGTTAATGATTCCCTCTTGTTGACAGGCTGGCTCACCTCCTGTTAATTTTTCCCGGCGCTCCAGGGTCCCTGCCGTGGACCGCACGCTCCACACAGTGGACATGTCAGCTCCATGCTTTCCCAGAGACCCCGCCTTCTCCCCTTCTGCTTTTCCCCCTGAAGCTCCTCCGGGTCCCCTTCCCTCCCTCCGAGGCAGCCTCAGGTAGAACTGCCTGAAAACGTCTTCTTTCTGCTTTCCTCAGCTAACTGGCTGGGCCTTGCGTCCTGGGGGAGATTATTTCCTTCCGGAATGGAGAAGGCGTCTTCCCTGGTCCTCAGCTTCGGCTGCCGGTGACTCATCAGTCTGGACGTCCCTCCTCAGACTGTGAGCCGAGGCCCCCCGCCCTGCCGAGGATGGGCCTCCATTCACTCCCCGAGCCACGGTCTCGTGTGTCCTCTAACCTACTCCTCGTCTTTTCTCTCAGCCTGGTTGTTTCCCAGGGTCACCTCTGCGGTCACCCCTCCCATCTGTCTTCTCTGGGATATCCATCAGAGGGGACCGGGGACTGTGGGTACATTCTGGCGGTGAGCCCTTCTCTCCGGCTTGGTCATCTTAGTCCTCCTGTGGGGGGGGGACCCCTCAACACGCGCTCCTCCCCTCCAGCTTCTGCTCCCCCCCAGAGCGCCTGCTCCTGTTTCACGTGGGCCAAGTCTATCACCGTCCAACAGAATGAATCGTATTTTCTTTGAACTGGCTTCTTTTCTTTCCTGGCTGGTCTCCAGTCCTCCACACACTCTTGTTCCCCTTTGTCTCGGCCTCTGTCGGTCCCTCTCTTGGGCACCAGGCTGTCTTCCCACACCTGGTGGTGCCGGTGGCTGTCAGCTCCCACTCTGGAAACAGGCACGGTGCTGGCGGGTGGCCTCTGCGCCTGGTGTTCCGGTGCACACGAGTCTGTGCTTCCGCCTGCCAGGCTCTTTGGGACGCGGCCCCAGCCCTCAAGGGTCTGTATCCGGGGCCTGTCCTCCAGCCACGTGGTTCTGCAGAGCTCCCACCCATGAGTGCTCACCCAGCGCTGGCCTTTGCCTGGTATCCTGGAGCTAGTGCAGGCGAGGGGCCGCGACTCTCCTTCCTGCTGCCCTCGGCACGTGCCAGCCATGTTGTCCAGGCAACAGTGTCATTGAGAGACGCTGGATGCCCTGTGGTGGCCCCTTGGGCCACAGAGGTGAGTCTGCTGCCCACTAAAGGCAGCCCGGGAAGCTCCCTGGAGATAAGGACAGCAGGCAGCGAGGGCCGAGTGCTGTCTGTCCACCCCGTGAGTGTGGGCCCTTCGGGAGAAGGGACAGTTTCCTGCTCAGTTCCCACCAATGGTCAGGCTCAACCCCCAACCAGCAAGTGAGCGCTGGGTGCTCCAGGCTTGCCCTGCTCTGGTCTCCTTACCCTGGTCCCACGGGCCCTGGAGCTCCATGTCAAGAACAAAGCCATGTGGGTACCTCGCTTCAAGCAGCAGAAACCACCAGGACTGCATCCCTGGAGCTTCCAGACTGGTCTGCATCCCCTTTTGAGTGACTTCCTGGTGCATCTGCTCAGGGTGGGCTGGGGCAGGGGGCCCAAGAGTTAAGTCCTCAGAACGCAAGGTACTCAGCCTTCTATTTGCCACTCAGCAACCTGCCCTGGTGTCCCCGGCACATGTGCAGGGGCAGGTAAGGGGGCACTTGGGACTTGGGAGGGAGGCATGGTGGGCTGGGGGTCTGGACATCCTGCCCTGCCTCTCCGTGGGGGACCTCGCAGCCGAGTCACCCAGTCCCTTGTTCTCCCCAACAGATGGGCTTCCTGGAGCCCTAGTGGGGTCGGGCCAACGCTCCTGCTTCCCTGTAGAAGCATAACCCTCCCAGCTGGGCCTGTGATTCATGTCACAGCTGCTCTCACAGCCCCAGGACCCAAATCACACCGAGTGTGGGACCCACTGCCCCTCTGATTAGGACACCACCTGACCTCCATCCTTGGGGCACCTCTGTCCCTTCTGTCCTGGCTGCTAGGTCCAGCTGACCCCACTGTGCCTGGTGGGGCTTGGCCTCTCTGGAACCCTGGTCTCTGCTCAGGCAGACTTGCCCCACAGTGATGGCCTTGTGCTTAGGTAATTCTGCCCAGCCAAGCTCAAACCTCAGAGGCACGCAGCACGGGGACCAGGGATGGCTTTGTAAATTGAGTGGCACACAGCAAACAGCTCCATTTGCAAGGTGCCTGGGGCGGCGCAGGGGCTCTTAGCTGGAGCACCCGTTACTCCCCAGGGGACACTGACAATGTTCAGAGACATTCTTGGGGGTCACAACTGGGGCTGAGCTAGCCTCATGCAGTAGAGCCCAAGATGCTGCTGGACACTACAGGGCACAGGACGGCCCCATAATAAGGAACCATCTGGAACCAATGTCCACAGTGAGGTGGAGAAACCCTGGCTAGTTAACTAGAGACTCGCCTTTCATGGTGGGGGTCTGGGGATACCCACCTGGCTGGGCTGAGCCTCAGACACAGCCTGGCAGCAGGGAGGGGCAGCGGTGTGCCTGGTAGCACCTCCTGCCTGAGCAGAAGCCTCCTGCCACCTCCCTGCTATGAGGCCTCCAGGCACGGACAGTAGTCAGAGACCACCCACCTGGCTCAGCCCACAGAGCCCACCCATCACTCCCCAGCTCCTCTCTCTGAATCCAGATATCCCATAAACATGGCCCCCGTCCCGGGCTTGGCCAGCATACACGGTATCTCCCCAGAGGCGTCCCAGCTGGGAGATCAGAGCCCTGACTCCGACAGGCAGCCTGGACAGGTGACCAACAGGTGTCCTCCAAATGCTTTCTTGCCAGCTGAGGCCTAGTCCCTCTCCAACCTTCCAGAAGGTGGGTGTTTCCCTCCCGGGCAGGTGAGGAAGCCAGGTACAGAGGGAATGTGGCCTGCAGGGGCCAGGCTGCCAGTCTGCAGAGGGGTGGGCAGGAGCTTGAGTGGACCACTGCCCCAGCAGGCCAGCCATGCAAGTGGGGTTCCTACTAGCAACAGACGCTGTTACAGTCAGCCCCCTAGCTCGGTACCCGCACAGGCAAGGAGACAGCGGCCAATGTACACAAAAACTAAAACTAACATCCTGGCCCGTCGAGTCACACTCAGACTGCGGTCCTCAGGGGACCCTGGCTGGCTGCCTGACCTCATGCCTAGGTGTCCAGGCAGCAGGAGGGGCCCTGTGCTCTGCTCACCCATCCATTGTCCAGGTAACTTGTGTCCAAGTGACTTAGGACCTTACTTCTTCTGGGGGGCTCCGCAGGCCCCCATGTCCCATCAGTCCCTCCCACCAGGGCTGAGCCCTGCCTTCTGTCCACAGCTCCTGCCTGGACAGGGCCAGTGACCTACTTCTCAGAGAGGCTCCTGTGGCCTGTGGGTACAGTATGGGCAGTGACCAGAGTAGAAGCTCACCCAAGTGACCAAATCAGTAACCTCTAGGTGGATGCCCCTACTACCCCCATTTTACAGATGAGGACACTGAGGCCCAGAGGGCTTAAGTAACTTGCGTTGGTTCACACAGAGCCAGGATTTCCACCTTAGGTCCCACCCCTAAGTACTAGGCCAGGGGCGGGCAATGTCAGGATGGACAGGTGCACAGGCCTGGGGGGCCCCAGGCAGGTCCTGCGGTGCCAAACACCCCCTGAGACCCCCACGGGGAAGTGTGGGTGGCTCACCTCAAGTGGGCGGGTGGGGGTGGTATCAGGCCCTGCCTCAGCTCCAGGTCAGAGGCGGAGAATGCCCCCACACTGGGCGCTGGGCTGATGACCCCCCCAAACCTCAAAAAGGCCCCTTGGTTCCCAGATGCAGGAGCTGCGGCGGGTGTCTGAGCAGTAACGGGACGGGTGTCTGAGCAGTAACGGGATGGAGCGTCGCCTTGGAAGCACCCCCCTCCCTGCCCCGAGGGCCTGGGGGGCGTTTGCTGCTGGTTCTGGCAGGGGTCTTACTCTCGGGGGTGTTAACTCCTGGGGCCAAAGCAGGTTGGGCGGCGGATTCCTGGTAGTCGGGGGGCCATTTCGTCTCCCTCTGACCCCTTCTCAAGGTCCTGGAGCTTTCTAAGGGTCAGCGCTGAGAGTCTAAGTGGGGCTCCCGCTGCAGCTGAGTTCCCCTCTGGGGCGAGGGAGCCCCTGGAGGCGGCGGGACAGACCCCTGAGGCCCGGTGGGGGCCCTGGGTGCAGCCAGGCCAGGCCCGCAGCGGCCCGGGAAAGGGGCCCAGAAGGTTCTCAGACCCCTGGGCGGGGCCTGCAGGGACAGCGAGGGGAGGAAAGGAAACCCGAGTTCCCGGCCCCTCTGCGGGCCTTCCCCAGCCGCCTCGCCCCCCGGGGCCCTCCCAGGCTCACCTGGACCGCAGGCGGAGGGCAGCCCGGTGCAGCGGCCGAGGTGCGGCCTGTCCGCTTCCAGGTTCCGCGCCCCGGCCGGGCGGCCGCGCAGGGCCCCGGCCCTCGGTCCCTCCCCGGCCCCGCCCCCCACTTCCTGTGCGGCTCGGTGGGAGGCGGCGCGCCCCGCCCGCCAGGGGGCGGCCAGGTGCGGGCCAGGTGCGGGCCAGGTGGGCGCCCGGGCAGGCGGGGTGTGGGCCGGCCGCTCCGGCTCCGAGCCCCGCGCAGGACGCGCCGGCGGGCGTTCCCCCAGTACCTGGCCGTGCCGCCCGCGTCACCTGGCCCGTCCGCACCTGGCCGGCGGGTGCCCACGTGACCCTAGGCCGGCGGGCTGCAGTCCGGCCGTAGTCCGCCGGCAGCAGCGCCTTGGGGCCGCGCTCCCCGCCCTCCGCTCCCACGCCCTCTGCCGGTGGCCGGCGTCGCCTGCGGGTGTGGGGCCCCGGGGCTGCCCCACTGCAACCCCCAATCAGCCGCCGCTCTCCTTCAAGCCCGGCTCCGCTGCGTCTGCTGCCTCCAGCTCCAGGAAGCCCTCCCGGTAGCCGGCCAGCCCTGCGGGTAATCTGCTTTTGCCAGGAAGCAGCCCCGCCTTCTGGATTTTCTCGGAGAGGCGGCCAGGCCCGGACTGCAGCCCAGGACACACTGCGGCTTCGCGGTGTGGTCTTCAGCACCGCTCCCACTTTGCGCCTAGAGGAGGTGCCTGCTCAGGGCTGAGGCTGGACTCCAAGCCTGGCCTTTCCAGCCTTGTCCAGCGGCTGTCCTGGCCAGCAAGGGGTGGAGGCGGATGCTTGGGGACTGGGCTGTCATGCTGCAGGAGGAGGGGGCGGTGGGACATGCTGGCCTCCACCCCAGGCTGGGGCCCTCCTTGTTATCTGGTGAGTCCTGGGTCGCCCACCACCCACAGTTCCCAGCCCACACCCGCCCAGGGTTGCAACAACGGGGTGAGCTCCCTGTAGTCCCCGCTCAGGAGCTGCCCCTGGTTCCCAGTGACCACCTGCATCAAGGGCAGTGGCCTGACTTCCCCAAAGCCCACCCTTCTTGTCCACATTTGGTGATCCCCCCGCCTTCCCAGGGAAAGCCTGCGTGGCTGTGTCTGTCGCCCAGCACCCCCACCCACCACACTTTCCTGCCCACTGAGCCAGGAGGCACGCCGCCTGCTGGACCCAGAGCAGGAGCTCCAAGAACCGTTGTGTGTTTCCACCGGGTCTTTTCTCCTCCGCCACTGTTGGAAACCCTGGCACATGGGGCATGGCCTGGCGGAAGCTGCCTGATGTTGCCCCCAGCCCTCCCTCCAGGGCTAGCCTGGGTTCATCCCCAGCCAGTCTCCTTGTCCTTCCTCCTGACTACCAGATGGTTATTGAGCTCTGACTGTATGTGGCCTGCCGTGCAGAGCATTGGAGATACAGCCATGAGCTGAGCTGACACAGCCTCTGCGCTTCTGGAGCTAAGTGCAGTGGGGAGACGGACACTTGTAAAGCTGAGGGGTTCACCCCCCAGGGGTGGGGGGCAGTGCCGTGCGAAGCTATCCCAGTGTGTGTGGAGTTGGGGCCAGGCCACTGCCTCTAAGAGGTGCTACTGACTCCATGATGGGGCGGGGTGTTTCAGGCAGGGTCACTGCACGTGCAAAGGCCCTGAGGTGGGCAGGACCATGGCCAGGAGAGGGTGGGGTGGGGTGGGGTGGATTGTGGGGGAGGTCTGCATCCTGAGAGCAGCAGGGAGCCACTCAGGGTTCAAGCAGGGGGACAAAAGTGATCAGGGCTGGTGCAAAGACCCCTCTGGCAGCTCAGGAGAGGGCAGGGTGGAGGGGTAGGAACAGACGCCATCACCCCAACCCTGACCGAAGATGCTGGTATCCTGAATATTGTCAGGATGGGGAGCTTACCACCTCCCCAAGCAGGGTGCTACATGGTCCCGCCTTACCATGACCTTTAGTCTTTCTTGATGTGACATGGAATCCAGATCATTCATCATCCTGGCATGTTCCCCCAAGATGCTTCAAAATGTGCCTCTCAAAATGTGGCCATCAGGACAGACGCAGTACCACGCCAGGACAAGAAGAGGATCACTCACCTCCTCTCTTCTGGCTACTATACCTCTGCTAATATGGCCTTTTCCAGCTGCAGCTCTTACATGTGTCCATCCCACAGCACTGAGCCTGGAGCCTGTATGTAGCAAATACTCAGTGAGTGACCTGAGATCCCAGCACTCAGCCCCAGAGGTGCCAGTGTGCCAGTGACCTTCTGACCTGTCTCCAGGTCCCCTTCTCAGGAAAAGCCCATTGCCACCGGTACCGCCCAGAGTGATTCTGTTCGAGCCCCCCTGAGCTGTGCATTGGGGTGAGCCTTCAGACGCCACAGCCCCTTTACTGCCCTGGGGGCCTCAGTGCAGTGGGCAGGGTGCAGCCTGGCCCAGGGATGCAGACCCATTCTCCTGACGCCACCTCCCCAGGGCTGGCCGCTGGGTGAGCGTGCCGTCCTGTGCTGGGGTGGCGGTGCCACAGGCTCGTGGAGCAGGCCTGGCAGTTTTCTGGGTGCTGTGGTTTGAAAGGCAGCCCCACCCAGCCTGCTGCCTGACCAGACCCTGCCCCCATCGGTGGCCCCACCCACAATCGGTGCCACAGGAGGTGCCCAGGGGGGCCGTCAGCCCCATCTGTGGGTGTGCGTTGGGTAGCTGGGGCTAACGGCTGACCCTGCGGACGGCAGCCTGGTGGACACACAGCTTCAGGGCCGCTCCCTGGAAATGCGGGAGGCTGCTGCCATCCAGAGGCCACTGCCGGTACCGCACCCACAAAGCCCAGCTTGCAACAATTGGTCGGGGGTGGGTAGGGGGCGGGCAGAATGCCTTGACCTTTGGGTTCCTGACTCCCACTCCATGAACATTCCTCTTTCCAAATGCAGCTTAGTCACTGCAGGGTTAATCCCCCCAACCCCTTCCCACCCGGCCGCCCAGCCCTCTGAATCTGGGAGCCCTTGTGGGGAGGAGGCATCTCCCCATCTCCGGTTGAATCAGTGTGTGATTGGGACTAGTGGCCTGGACTAAGTGGCTTGGCCTCTCTGGGCCTCTGTTGTCCGGTCTGTAAAAGGGGGGGGGGGTTGATAATGAGCCACAAAAGAACCCAGAGTTGGCACTTGGGGGTGGCGGCTGGAAAGATTCTTAAGTGACTGGTGTGGAGGGAGGACCCGGGCTGGCCACTCCCCTCACTCACCCCAGCCCGGTGAGACTGCTGCGGCTGGGACCATGAGCACGCGGGCCGGGTCGGCACATAGCCGGGAGACCATGGGGATGTTGCCCTGGGCCCTTCCTCCCTGCCTTGTGCCTCCAGGACCACGTACCCCCTGCTGAGAGCGGAAGGCTCCTCATCTCATGAAACCCCATGAACACCTTCTACAGGGGTCCCATCATCATAAATAAGGACCTGGGGTGCAGAAAAGTGCTTGGCCCCAAGTGCAGGGCCTTTGCATGTGCCGTTCTCTCTGCCTGGGATCCTCTTCCTCCCGGGTCTGTATAGACCTCTCCCCTTTTACCCCTTTGCCTCAAGGGCACTAATCTACCAGGCCTTCCTGTCTGCCCCTGGAGGAAGGAAACGCTTCTCACCCAACTCAGGGCCTCTGCAGTGGGCTGGGTTGAGTAGCCCCCAAAATGAATCAAAAACCGAACTCCAGTACCTATGATGTGCCCACTGGGAAATGGGGTCTTTGCAAGTGTAGTTAAGACAAGATCATGCCTGTTAGGCTGGGCCCTAAACCCAGTGGCCGGGGTTCCTCTAAGAGATTCGGACACAGACAGAAGGGAGAACGCTGGGTGCCAGTGGAGGTGAGGTAGGAATGACGTGTGTACAGAGCAGGGGAGTCCAAGGGATGTGGCCGCCCCCAGGAGCTGGGGACAGGCAGGACCCCCCCCCCCGGAGCCTCCAGGGGGCACAGCCCTGCCTGCAGCGGGACTGCGGGCTTCTGGCCTCAGAGCTGTGAGAATGTGTTTCCGTGTCTCAAGCCCAGGTGTTGTGGAACTTGTCACTGCAGCCCCGGGAGCTCGTGCGAGCCTCGCCCCGTCTGAGCCCCTGCAGAGCTCTTCCGGCTGTGACGAGTCTCGGGCTTCCCTTGTTCATTTCTGTTTCCCTTTTCCCACTGGAACGCAGGCTTCTGAGGCCAGGAGAGGGGATAATCTGCAGGTGGACAGTCACCCACTTGTCCCCACTCCCCTGAGCGTCTGGGTGGCTCTGCACCTGGTGTCACTGGGCTGCACCTGGTGTCACTGGGCCCCACCTGGCAGGCCTAGAAGAAGGCTGGTGGCTTAGGGAAGGCTTCCACGTGCACAGTCGGCCGGAGGTGATCCCGCACCAGCTGGGACGATCTGTGGCCTGGAAAGGCAGGGCCCCAAGGATGGCACTGGGCCCTATCCTTTACCCCTACCTCATGAGAGCCTTGGAAGTGACACCTCTGCCCTGGGCTCCCAGCCTGGGACGTTCGCCTCTGGAAGATGAGATGTGGGCCAGCTGCTTGCCTGGCCAGCCCTGAAATGAGGGAATCTCCCCCTCTAGGGTGCTTGGCAGGGGAGGGTGTGGGCCCCCACCCGTGGCCATCAGGGAATCCCTCTAGAGGGGTCAGTGCTGTCATCCGCAGGAGCCTTTTCCTATGACTCCGTGTCTTGGGCACCTGGAGGTCCAGCCACTGGGGCCGCCACACAGAGAGGTGGTGCCCTGAGGCCAGCAGCCCTCAGGAGGCCTTTTGGCCCGACCGTCCCAGGTGCCCGGGGCTGAGGACGAGTGAGGCTGCAAGGCGTGCCCATCTCCCCTTGCCAGGGCTGCTGGGCAGTGTCTGCTGCCTGCTCTCCCCTCTCTGGGGGCCTCAGGGAATGTGCGGGTGGAGAGAAGGGCACAACGCCCTCCTTTCTTCTTTGGCCCTGGCACTGAACTGACCTGTCACCCACTGTGGGTCCCACTGTGCCCTGTCCAGCCCCAGGCAGCTGGGAAAGGTCTCGTTGCTCCCAGATGATGCAGCGGGCATGAGTGGGTGGAGGACACGGGCTCTTCTGTGCAGGGCCAGCGGAGGTCCAGGTTGGGTGGGGGTCTGCACACAGGCGGGGGGTGGTGTGGGGGCTGGGGTGCTGAGTGGGGGCCTGGAATGCCTCTCTGGCCACCAGGCAGGAGGCTCAGCCTGAGGGAGCACACAGTCATGCCTCCTTGTACCCCAAGTAGCAAACGGTCATTACTTCCTACTAAGCACCTACTGTGTGCTGGGCCTCATGAACCATCTTTTGGATTCTTACAGTCACTTCCTAGGGTGTCTG